GCTGTCCCCAGCGTGGTCTTCACACTGCTCTTTCCTACCAAGCAGGAAGCTGGGTCACTCCAGCTCTCTATACCCTGGTAATGGCAGAACACCAAATACAGAGAAAGGAGCACGGGGCAGGGAGGAAGGCATTTATTTAATACATAAATTAGACAGCTAAATGGAAATAAGGAGGGTAGGATGGCCTCAAGGCTGAGCAAGGGCTATAAATTAATGAAGCTGCTCAGCTGCAAAGATGTTCATGAAGTCCCAAGGGTCCTTTTCATAATAAGACTATTTTTTTTAAACTTATTCTAAGAGTAAAACAAGCAGAGCAACAAATACACACACAATGCTTCCTGAAAACCTGCTTACCACTCCGAGGTGGTGTCTTGCTCTCACGAAGGCAGTTTTCTGCTGGACGCCTATTTGGGGTTGCAGCCCTGGCCATGCGGCCTAGCCGCAGCCCCGGGCCATTGGCCGCAGCCCCTGCAGSCCGGGTGCCCGAAACAGGAGGTGGGAAGGGGTCGTCCTTGCTCAGCAGATACCCAAAGTTGGAGGCCACTTCATGGTCACCATGAACAGCTGCAGTTTCCAGGGCTCTGGCAAAAACAGTCCTAGTTTTCCCTTATGCTGATACCTGCCAAGKCATGGCACAAGGGGCAGAAAGATACAATAGGGCTAGTCCAGGCAATGTATTTCTAGGAAGAATGGAAGTCTCTCTCTCCCCAAAGGAGCACTATTGCAAAACAGGGAGTCTGCTTCATTTGAAAAGAAAAAATCCTTCTCAATCCAATACATTTGAGACCTCCTAAACAGGCTCTCACTTCACTGCATAATTACAGACTATTTTTGTCTCAAAAAAAGTACTGATAAAAATTTAACTGAAAGTTATTATCAGAAGGCATCCTTTGCTCTTTAAGATATATTGCTATTTAGTATAGCATTCCTTTTATATTATGCACTGATTGACAGATTAACAGAATAAAAAGGCATAAGCCTTTAAATTCCATGCATGCATGGAATGAACCTATCCATTTACTTAAGGCTCCCTCCCTGATGTTTTTGCTATCAGGAAACTCTCCTCTGAGCTATCCTAATGACTTAAAACCACGATCCATGCCTTTAAAACAACACACTTAAATCTAAAGTCACACAAACCTCAACAGAAAAAACATATTCCCTCAYTTTCTGACACAGGGGTAACACAGCTATGCCTATCTCATGAGCTCCGCTTTGTCAGGAGTCAGTATCATATGATATAGAAAAGATCATAACAATTTAGGGCAAGTAAGGAAGAACCACCTAGAAGCAGCTGCAATTTAAAGTCTAGAGACTTTAYGAGTCAGACATTGCTAGTTTAAAGCTCCCAAGACAAGAAATGCTCCCATCACTTTTTGGTTTTCTCATCATCCCACAGCGATGAGCACTACAGCACAGATGGATATTTGGTGAAAGYGTGCCTTCTTCTGCTTGTTTTCAACCCATTTTGAAATATCTCCTTTGGTTTTTTTTAGGTCTAGTAACCTAAAAACACCTGAGCAACACTAAGCAACTGTTCAACTTCTCCAGGCCACTCAAGATGGTGCGGACATCAACCATAACCTCTTTAGCCCTCTGTTTCCTATAAGGGATGGTTATTGTCTATTTAGGATCTCCTCGTACCTAAGCCAGTCCAAACTCCTCTGGTTTCTGCTGTTTGTCCTTTCTAATTCTCTGAATTTGTCTTTGTGAATTTATAGACTGACTTAACGAGATTTTCTCTTTTCTTTCTGCACCCTTCATGCTAACACTTAACACAGTGCTTGCCTTTTCATCCCTTCCCTATTCTACCATGCCTTTCCATTTCCCCCAAACTTATTTGTCATTACAGTTTCTATCAAAGAATCTCCTTCCGTCTCAGGGATATTTAATAAAATAAAATCAGTGCCATATATGCCAAATTTCATTCCTTTCCAGTTAGTAACTCAGCAATATCTTATTCCTTTTGAAGCCTTGAGAGAATAACACTGGCTCACAATATTTATTATTCCTCTCATTTATATGTTCTCAATGTCGTCTGCAGAAGCAGTGATTGAACAGTAAAGCAAATCCAGTGCTAACAATATTAACATTAGACCAAAAATTTTAGTCACATGAGTCTCAGTTCAGACAAATCCAGAGTTTTTGAATGTTGCACTAGCAGTCTAAGCTATATGTGAAATATTATTTTTAAACACTCAGCATAAAATTGCACAGTGTTCAAGTTATGCACTCTTACTAAATCAACAGAAATGAATTCACATTCCCACACTTGATTCACTATCACTGGGGACAAATAAAACCGACTACATGGGAACAATTAGGCTTGTTACTCCAAAAAACTATTGCAGCCTCACCATGCCAAAGTTAGCTCATTTCTTTGCAAGAAGAAGCTAATTTTACAAAGACCAGGCTAAGAAAAAGATAGCAAACAAGCCTTCATTCATATTCATCATCCTTCTATATTGGGCAGCTATGGGAACACATAGCTATTCTGACACCAAACTCTTTTRAATCCTTCAAATACCTTACACACACACACAAAACCATTACTGCTCTAATACAAATGAGCAAAATGCCTGAAAAGGGAAGAGTGACATCAAAAATTGAGAGATTAGCTATAAATAGTGAACCAGATCCTGGTGTATATGGTTTGCAGGAKGGATGTTACAGGGCATAACTTAAATAACTTTGTTGTCCTATTTCTTTACTAAAAGAGGAATCCTTAGACTTCAGAATTTCTCTTTTGGGGGGTGGGAGGGGCATTAAAAAAAAAAAAAAACACACACACACCACACACACACACCATGAATTCACACTAGAATCCCCAATAAAACATGTTTTATGCTAGGAACAGCCATGCTGATGTTTTAGAATGAATTGCACTTACCAAAACAGAGCATATGTTTACAAATCCCTGTGTGGACTACAAGTGCTTTTCTGTACACTACCAAAACCCAAATATTTGAAGGTTGGGAAATCCAAATGTGACATTGGCTTGATACACTGTAGCGGTRTCACTGCATCATTTTCCCAAGAGGTGGCAATATCCATAAATAACTGCCATACACACGATGAACACACTATATCCATCTGTAAAATRGTTCGTTCTACTACTCCACACTAGTTCATTCCATCACAATCAGGAAAAAGTTTTCACCATTTAATGTGTATTTACTGGAATTCCATATATTCCAAATAATCTCAATGATCAAATAATCTCAAATTTTCTCAAGAATTAGGTAATTGAATACACACACACACACTTATGTTTTAACACACTATCTTTGTCTTAATATCTATACGATACCTACTCAGTTATTTAGACTGCAATGCAAAGACACCATCTTAGATGGCCATAAGACATTTTAAAGCAGTTCCCCTCGAGAAAAATAGGCAGTATATTGCCTTAAAACCTTGTTCTGTCTTTACTAGCAGGCTGCTAACTTTGGAGTATCTTTTGTTACCAGTGTCATCAAAAAAAAAAAAGGATATAGGTTGGATATAGTATCCATAAAGGATATAGTACCTATAATATAGCCCACTATGCTTCTACACTACTCCTCAGTGCAGGAATCAAACAAGTTATCAAAAAAAGGGAAAATAAATGAATATGAATGAAATGAATAAATGAATCACCATAGGATTTATAGAAGTATTTTCAGTTTACGGTAAAGTAATCGATTCATATCATTTTTCAAGGCTAATTTGCGAGTGCGAAAAARTTCTCACTGACACATTCCTCAAAAAGAAACTCTTCCATATACTAGGTTTATTTAAAAAAATAAACAAAAAATAAGAGTCTTACTCAAAGATCTTTCCCTACTTTTACTTCACCTTGAAAATGTCCTACTGAGACATTTCAACAAGAAAATGTCCTACTGAGAAGTTTCTCCCAACTTTTACCTGTCCATTTCATGATAAGGTAGAGGGAAGGAAGAGAAGACCAACAAACCCCTGAAGGCAGAATGCCTCAGAAGAAAACTGTAAACTCAACAGTTTCTGATGCTACTTTTGCCTGATCATTCTAACCTGAATAATACAATGGTTCAGTTAAACACTGTTAGGTCTTACACACTAAGAAAGAACAGAATCCAGCAGAGGAATGACTCWCACACATTGTCCTAAAAATAATACGTATTCAGCAGCCTTACAGAAGGGATCCCTACTGTCAGCCACTATCACCTCATTCTTATTTTTAAAATACATGGTTAACAGTGTTATAATCCACCTTTAGAACATGTGTTGTCCTCTCTCATCTAGGTCAGACCTTTCTATGAYTCAGAAAATGTATTGCTTTATGGGATGATTAGCAAAGGAATTACATGTAAAGAGAAACAAACTTTCTTTACCAAAACAACATCAAGGAGCTTTTGACTGACATGAGATACTCATAAAATGACCACGGCATGACCACTAATGAAATGCACCTACTGTTACAATCAGGAAAAAAGAGGGAAAAAAAGTGATCACATCTATTTTATCAGTTTTGTTGCTATTCTTTCTTGATGTTTTTATTACAGCCCTCACAAATATCACTGTTAAACAGTGCCACAAATGTCAACTTTATTGCTGATCACAGTAACAGCTTCACATTGTTGGTCCAATAATATATAAAAAGTTGAAACTGTAATTACATCCCCAGTTCAGGCAGGTACTTACCACATACGCAATTTTAACAAAATGCTGCAAATCCGATATATAGACCAAACACAAGCTGCAATAGCACGTTTTCAGCCTTAATAAGCATACACGATTATCATCAAAAGAAGAACGCATTGTAAGCTTTCATCCTTGAAGAAATTACTTCATCTTCTTCAATGGGATTGAATAGATGTTTTGAATAAACTGACTGCTTACAATACGAGATATGTTTGGAAAAAAATAAACTGCCTAGAAACAGCTCTTATTTTCTCAAAATATATTGATTTAGGGTTAGACTAACAGCATGCTATGCACTTTAATTTATAATTAGGTTTCCAAATAAAATATAAACTTACTTCTTTTCTGATCCTTTTTTTGTGACACAGATGGACGGGTAGGACTCGATACAGGCAGAGTGGCCGCCCTCTCCGTGCTGTTCAAGGATACATCCATGGACCACGGCTCCTCTTTTGCAGTAGCAAACAGCTGGGTGCTGTCCTCAGGGACCTCTCCCAAGACACCATCATCCGGAGGATGAGGATTGAGCAGCGAGCCTTGAGTTGCAGGATTAAATGAGTTTTCCTGGAAATTATCTCTAAGTACATGTGAGTTCTTGTCTATTAGGTCAATGTGAGATAAAGGCGTAGTGGTCCAGGAGAGCGTGGGCGAGCCAAGATCCCCCGTGGGATCAACCTTGGAACTGTTTTCATCCACGTTTAGAAARAGAACGTCAGATGTTTCGATGTCACCGTTAACTGTGAAGACGTCACTTCCATTTGAATAGAAGCATGTTTTTTCTAGCACCCCTTGAAGGAAGGGAAAAAAGCATCAAAAATTACCATCACCCTGAAAGAACAATTGGCCTTGGAAGATTAATACTAAGTATAATGGCATAGATAAAAAACAATTTAAAATTAAATAAGATGAAAGAATCTCTTATAGCAACTAAATAACAGAAACACAAACAAAAGGTATGATTGATGTAGGGGAAAAAAACAAAGGATAAATATACTAAAAGGCATTGTACAACACAAATAAATCCTTCCATGAACTAAAATGCCTTAGACTTATTCATAGTAGGCTGATGAAATCGTACAGATGGTAAATCTAACTATGGTATATAATTAAGGAGGAATTCCAATGTGTATTTGTCCTACCYTTGTGTTAAAAAGACAAGCAATAATTTTCTTTTTATCAGACCTTCACTTGTGAAGATTCCTATTGAGCAGTACTATCATCTTTAGAARTCTAATCTTTAGCTTCACAGGAGCCAACATATTTCTAGTATATGTTACACTCACTGACATCTTAAATGGAGGTATTGCTTTCTCTGAATAGGATTATATAACGTAACTACCACTGCTAAACRTATGTCCTCGTATTCTTTTTCATCCTTCTCTAACACTAGAACTTAYATAGCATGTATAAGATTATATAAGCTTATATCTTGGCTATCACCAGTATTTTACGTAACTGTTGTATGCACTTTTTGTTGGTTTATTATATCATAAACCAACGCAGGCTTTGCTTAACTATGTGTTGAACAGCCACAAATTATTTTTAGTTCATAAATCAGAAGACCTGCAAAAGGTCTACGGCTATACATCACACAAGCATCAGGAAATTTAAACTAGAGTGCAAGAGCACTTTTTTGCTATGAACTTCACCCATTTAAAATGCTGCTCACACATACATAATGAAAAGGATGCTAAAAGCTGTGCAGCACTGATGGAACATGACAGGACTCTACTCCCAGCAGCAACTTTTAAGCATTCCTCTGATATTAGCTGCTTGAAGACAATAAAGTAAAAATAAAGAAGTGAAGAACATTCTTCTATTTAAGGCCCTGAAGGCAAAAAGATGGTCACATCTGACATACATTAGCAAGAATTCATCACAGCTCTTCTCTGCAAACTTTCAGAACTTGAGGAAAGTTTTTTTTTGTTTTTAATTGCTTTAAATTGTTCCTTCATAGCCTTTCATACCTGCTGTTGCTTCACCAGCTCATGGACACAGGTGATGCTCGAGCCCCCACTGCACTATCTCCTGGCTGCATTTCCACCTTGGATATTGCATATACACCAAAAGGGCTCAGCACAGCATCACATTTCACACAGGCACTGCTCAGTACCCTGAGCCCCTTCTCCCTGCTGTTACAGGCTCCCTCTTCACCTGGGTTGTGGTCATGTTAAATCAAGGGCTGCAACGGAAGGACTGAATAGGAGGGAATCTTCACTAATCAAGGCTGCAAATAACCAACAATACCAGAAAATGTAAACTTAGATTTAAAGTCTGAAGTGAATTGGAATCAGGAAATCTTATAGGTAAGAAGAGAAAGAAACTAGAAAAGTTCAGAAGAACAATTCTTAGAATTTCATTTTATGAACACTGAAGTGGAATTAAAAAGAAAATATATGATCCCTGAAATACAAAGGAGTGTATTGAAAGAGCTAGCATTTGAGATCTAGCACTGTTTTATCTCTCCAGGCTGGATTACTTAGTTTCTAGTAACCCTGAATAGTGATTAAGCTTTCAAATCTAACTTCTTTTGAAAGAACCCAGGGGAAATTTACATTTCTGCATATGAAGGTTTCTGGTTTTCCACCAGGGAATGTTTATGATTCACTGGGACTTAGAGGAGTTTACTATGTGCATATTACAGAAGCAACTAAAATTCTCCCATCTGCAAGTTATTTCAGCAGCAATTTCTCTATGCTTGAGTCCTCTAGTCAGACACAACAGGAAAAATGAGTGGGCTCTGATTTCACAAARGGGGACAGTAGTAACACGATTTGCTAAAATCTTCAGCAGCATGCTCAGAAATTGTGCTCACTCACATGTAGCTTTACTTGGATTTTCTTTTCCCAAATCAAAATCTGAATCTCTAGTAACTGAGGAAATCTACTTGTTTCAAATTTCAAACTTACGTAACTTTTTCTGTAGCTTTTAAAAAATTAAAGTGAGCTTCTTTTCCTCCTTCAGAAAAGTGCTTTTTTTTTTTTTTTGTTTGTTTTTTTTTTTGTTCCCCATAGCTTAAGAATAGCTGTGGGGATTTTGTTCACATTCTCTCTCCTCCTCTCCAGGCTCTTCTCTTCTCCTCCACTCACCACAAAAATAGAAAAAGCCTGGAAAATGTCAGCCCCAAAGAGCTACGAATAATGACTTTAAATTAAAGTAAAAATTATTAGCTACTTACGTATCACTCAGCAGAACAGTAGGCAATACATTACAAGTCTGGTAAGGTTTGAGCGGGGGTTGGTTGGTTTATTTTTTAAACGTTTGGATCACTAAATACTGCAGAACTACCAATCTGATTCTATTCTTCTCCCCCTTATTTTGTTGTCTTTCTAGAATTATAAAAATAGCTATCTTTATCATTACTCATAAATCATTTGTTTCCTCTACAGAGTTACTCAAATTCTTATTTACATGTTCAACCCACCTTACAACAAAAACATTCTTGTTCTATTTTCATACTTTCACAGTGATAAAAACTCCCCTTTGGCTCCTGACAGGTGTACCACATAATAAACTACTTTTAGAAAAATTAGCTTCCCAGTTGTGCTTTAGCTGATGACAGTGATTAAATTGCTTTTTTTAACAGTTCTTGTCCCCAAAATAATAGGCCTTACAGAGAGCAAGGGCAGGGAGCAAAACATTGGTATTACTGGGAAGGAAGTTTATGATCCTGGATACATGTAAYTTTCTTATTTCCATACTTTCAAATCCTTGGGTTTAAGTTTTACCTTAATCGTTCAGGTTTCCAATCAGCTGCTTAAGACTGGAGAATTTTAAAGAACCCATTTTTTTCTGCTTTTCTGGATCAGTGTTCCAGCAACTGAGTGTCTGGCACTAAAAGTATGAGTTTTTATTGTGTTCTTTTAAAGAGTACTTTTGGATAAGTTCAGGAAAGATCTCTCAACTGTGCCCTGGTGGACTGCAGGCACTTGCCTGGACTCGAGCCCCTGTGCTCCTGAGGGAGGCCGGCAGGCTCACGCTTCTGCTTGGCCCTCGCCTAACTCCACGTGACAGCTCCACTACAACTTACTTTGTGAAGTTTTTGGATCACCTTCCTGAATCACCTTGTTCTCCCATTCTCTCATCCTTCCAGGAGACCAAATAGCAAATCTGAGCACATGCTTCCAGGCTATAGACTCCATTCTCTAAGTTAGGTTCATGTTTTCTTTGGATCTAGTCCTTTCTCCCCTAAAATACTGCAGCATATCTTCAATTTTAACTTCAGCTTACTGGAGATTTCTTTAACGGCATCAAAAACCCCAGAGGAACTATTTCAATTTTAAGACTAAGAAAAGTGTGATGATAAAGCAATATTTGATTAATCTGTTCTGTAATAAGAACCCCTTTACTCTCTATCAATGTCTGCTAACAGCCATATAATATCATTATAAAATGCAGATTTTATATTTTGTGTGCATACATGTACATCATACCAAACCCTTCATCAGATGTGAGTTTATACAGAGCTGTAGGCAGTAAATCATAGGCCAGATTAGTTAAGAAGTAGATATATCTGTTTTGGATTTGTATGTATAGCTACAGCTGGACAGGCCCAGGTGACAGAAATATATAGCATGCTGGCATTCATTCTGTTCACTACAAAAATGAGAAACTGGCACCAAGCTCATTGAGTTCAAAGCAGTGCTTTGCCAACAGTCTTACAATCAGCTTCCAGTGCCGTTCCCTATTGGCAAATTAATATTTATTTGAAGATTTAAAGATAGTTATGAGATCTAAGAGTCACACTGTTCAGGCTGTTAACAGAGAAGGTGGCTGTGYGCGCTGTGGCTGATTTCTAGTGGTTCACAGCAGAAAATCTTAAAAAGGCCACGTTTGTGTAAAGAGCTAATCAAATAGAGCCAAGAGGCTTAGCCAAGCGTGTATGATGGAAGAGTCAGAGAGAACAAAATTTTGGCTCGTTAATGTAGTTACCTGCAATGTACCCACAGAGGTTTCTCCTGTAAGGCCAGTCCCTGTGGCTCTACAAGCTCTGGAGGAAGGAGCACATCACTAGCAGTGTGGAGTTGTTGTGGCATATCAGATCACATCTACCCTATGAGGAAAGGCTGAGAGAGCTGGGCCTGTTCAGCCTGGAGAAGAGGAGGCTGAGGGGGGACCTGAGCAGTGTCTAGAAATTCATCAAGGGAGGCAGTGAGGAGGAGGGGGSYGGYCTCTTTTCAGTGGTGGCCAGCGATAGGACTAGAGGAAACAGCCACAAACTGAAGCACCAAAAGTTCCACAGGAACTTAAGGAAAAAATTCTTGACAGTGAGGGTGACAGAGCCCTGGAACAGGCTGCCCAGAGAGGTTGTGGAGTCTCCTTCTCTGGAGATCTTCAAACCCGCCTGGATGCAGCCCTGTGCCACGTGCTCTAGGTGACCCTGTGTGTGCAGGGGGGTTGGACTAGATCTCTAGAGGTCTCTTCCAACCTTAAGCATTCTATGATTCTACSATTCCCCTTTTGYTRAGCTGCAGGAACAGACTTTATTCTACCCCTCCTGGGAAGCAACGACATTACCTTAAACAGCTCACCAGCGGCCCAAGAAATTCTGGGCTTACCAGCCAAGAAAGAAGTTAGTTGTTAGAGGTTCTTTTCTTCTTCTTGCCAGGTATCTAGGGTAAACTTTTATTTTATTATTTTGCAAAATGCATGAATGCCAACCATTGGGCATAGATAAGYGAGTAGGCTGCTTGTCTGAAAGGCAAACTTATTTGATATGGTCCTGCAGTGTGATGTTCTGCCYCAAAATTACATCAGGACTATAAATGTCTGAAGTACATGAAACCTCTCTTTACTGTATATCCTTGCTCTGAATTCTACATAATAAAAATTGACAAAGTGTTAGTTCTAGATGGCTATTAACCATCTAGATGGCTAGAGGTGGCAGAAGACCATATTACTGTTAATTTGTAAAAGAAACGGGAACACCTACCACAGAACCTATTTAACGCTATGAAATAGATGTGAGATTGATTTGCCCTTATGGACCTGTAAGTGCAAAACATTTTWGTTTTCCCAGCAAGATAACTGCATTACTACACAACTAAGCTACAATCAAAATAAAATTGAAATTTGGCATTAAGTTCACCAGTTGTGAATTACTGTTTAAAAAAATACTACTTCAAATGGTTTAGAATGCTTCATCTTTCAAAGGAAAAGAAGGAAAATGTCAGATATTCATCATTCTTATAAACTTTGGAAATTTGCACCTTAGTAAAGTTTGCACAGGATGYATTACTCCACGATGGTTTTCAATGTAAGCAAAATTGGACACAGATTATAGATTCTGATACAGATTTAAGGAGATCTTCAGGCTTTCCATTTTAAAGGAAGACTGAGCTATCCAAACCATGGAATCACGTACTGCTTGCCTTCCTGAGAGTAACAATAATTAACTATAATGTACAGCAAAATATTACAATGTAGTCTTCTGAAACTTGTAGTGAAATGCCTCTCAATGCCTATGGATGTCAGACAGAATTACAAGAGAATAGTATACATTATTAAAATACATTATGCTTCTATACTATACTACACGTGCTTCAAAGATGCCCACAGAATTAGTTCATTTAATTTCAGGTATCAGACATATTGGGTTTTGGCTGTCAATGCACATAAAAGCTGCTAACTGAGAGAAAAGAATACTAAATTATAATCACCAAAATTCAAAGGAAGCTGAGGGGACCTTTCACAATTTTTAGGCTGGGGTAATAACACCAATAAGCAGTTGTTACATGGGTTTGCGAGGAGATATCTCTGATTTCTTCTCCAGAAGTAGGACCAGAACGGGTCCCCTTTTCCTGGAGGATTTTACACAGTCTTAATGAGTGTTATGTCAATGATGCCTCAGAGGAGCTTGGTGAGTACGGCTGACATAAATACACCTGCTTTTTTATCTGCTTTCTCGCCAAAGAATGAAAATCTAGGGCAGAGGATATGAAGGATACAAATGGAATGCTAAACATAAGGAAAGTAAATTGAATGGCATCATATTTCCTAATTGCTTGATCTTAATCTGCTACAGCCTGTGTTTAATTTAAGGATATATCCCAAGACATAGTTGTCAAACATAACATTCATTAACTCTGTTTTTTGACTTGTCTAACTTGAGCTAAATGAAATGAGCAGTCATAAAACATCTTGTTGCAAATCATCCTGTACAGACTGAATTGAGAAAACAGATTTAAGTTGTCTAGATTTTGACAGTCTTGAAAGTGCTGTTTAGACACATGTTCAGTTTCCTCCCACGCTTGGTAACTGTTTGCATGATATATATTGAAGCTGGTGTTTCAAATAGGAATATAAATTATATCTCTATAAACTCATACATTTTAGTGTATTTGTTACAGCTGTGCTTCTGAAATACTTGAGGAAATATAGTCATAAAAATAATAATAATAACAATAAAAAGTACAGTTTCCCATCGCTGGAAGTAAAAGGCGTTATTTTTCCCCCAATGAAGAGTAATGTTTTAGCATAGCATTGCTGTCCATGTCATGTTGCAACTACAGCAATTTAAAGCCAGGATATCTCATCTTCTTTGTAAAGGAAAAGCTTTTTAAAATTTTAAAGGTAATAAATTATTGTTATTTTCCTCTGTAACAGACACAGAGTTAGTTAACKTATTAAGTCATTATGAAATTACCTGAAACAAGTTCCAACAAAACATACTTGGCCATGTGTGCTGATATATACTTCTTATATATAAGAAATATCCATATTTTGCTTTAGTGAAACAGTGAYGTTTCATAGGCTGTTCAGAAAGAGTTGTGGCTATAACTCAGCCTTCACCTGATCAGTGTGTGACATTAAGATACAAGGACTCCAGTCCACTTAGTTATTTAAGTCTCTCTACGCTGTACGTCAAATAAACAAATATATATATTGTAATCGTATATTGTAAAAAGACTGCTGAAAATCATCTACATGCTATATTTTCTAGATAGTACACACATCAAAAAAACACTTTTAGAAATTCAGGAAAGGTTTCCTCTTTGTTACCTTTGAATACATTTTAAACATATAAATCTAAATATGATATCTGTTTCTCTGCAACAAACACTACTAATTTACTGTTTGAGGAAGATGTCCTAASAGATATATTTATGCCTACAATTACTTCAGCACCTGAGATTGCAGTCATATTTCAATTTGCTTCTCCTTCATTAAAAGCATGTTAATTAACTCCATTAGCACTCACCTACAAAGGTAAGCAGAATCACCAACAAAAGGATAAGGGCACAGATGCAGGGAATCAAAATTAGGAGCAGAAGTCGAAGGAATTTAGCAGAGGCCAGTTTCTGAGAGCAACCATCCTCCATATTATCCTCATTTGTCCCTAAAACCTGAAAAACAAGAGAGCAGAGTTTATGACTCTGGTGTAACTCCTATAGTGCACCTAAGAACAGTTTTGTCCAATACACAGAATAAAAATATCATTTAAATATGTGCTGTAAACAGCTCTTTTTAAAGAAAAGAGACAAATAAATTTATTTTTGGTAGATCTGCAATACCTGCAAGCTCATAGTTTCAGTAAAACTTCTGAACATTCCTGATAAACTAGAAGAAAGGTTAGACCTTTCCTTTCAAAAATGTAAAATACACACTACATTTTGAATAATACAAGTTAAATATAGATTATTTTATAACCAGAATAATTGTTATTAATTATTCAAGAACTCCATCTGTTTTTTTTATTAAGGAATTGAGACTATTAGCATCTTTGTTTTAAGTGACAATAGGAGTGATAGGGACCATTCCACTTATTATGCACAATAATACTTGTCTCATTCTCAATGGACTGACTTGACAAGACTAGAATTTATTACAGTATTCTGTGGAGCTCGTTAATAATATGCTCAGCAGTATAAATGGAATATGGAAGAACTGAGGGAAACAAATTCTAAATCCAGCTGTGCTTCATAAAATTAAAAAAAAAAAAAATCAACATGTACAAAAGAATGAAGCCTAAACATCTATTTACAATATACATAACAGGGATAAAAGTCCTCTTAGAGTAGAAYTCCCTTAAGACAGTGATCTCACATACTAGAAAAATATCATACTTTTTAAACAGGAAGAACAAAGACAAAAATTTTGGACATACATAACTAGCAAGATTGAAATTTGATTTGATTTGAAATTGATTTAAGTTAATGCTTCTTTAATTCAGAATTGACATTCAAAATATTTACAATTTTACTCTTAATAAGATGAAATAAGACTACAGAATTATTAATCCCAGACAATGTCACCCCRAAAGATGACTCATCAATTGAATATGATGAATAGCAATTTAGCCTCTCCATCACCAAGATCCATCCTAGTGAAGGTGGCCTCCTGCTTTAGGGGTTACAGGCAGCAACAGGGACAGGATGCAAGAACATAAATGCATCCAAAGGATCAGGCAAGACTCTCACGAGAGAGAGGTCTGTAACATCAGGCTTGTGCATGACTGTCTCCATACGTCATGCCCTTATGGCTCCCTTACAAGTGTCTTTCTGTGAAGAACAGGTTATCAAGCTGTGTGGCACAAAGGGAATTTTARGTATTTTTTAAGGAATTTTTCCAGAGTTCATGTTTAGTCCTCTCCTAATGTCAGTGCCCACTTTCCTGCACTATCTAAGACCGTAGGAAAAAGTGGGATTTACTGTGAGTGATTTTCTGTCATTCTCCACGTTAACAACAGAAATTTCACCTGTTATTCAGGCTGCTGGCTACAAGACACTGCGGGTACACTACAAGTGAAGAGAACTGCCTGTGTGCAGTTTCATGGGGTTTTTTTTTCCTAATATCACTAAAAATCAAGTTAGTGATATCCAGCCTCCGTGAGAGCCATCCACTGCAGCATCTCATCACACTTTTCTGTTACTTTCACAACTCAATGCACAGAGGGATAACATAGAGCACTGCCGTGGTGACAGTGGTGGGCACATGGTATSAGGAGGACCTCACCTGATACGCTCTGCACCTTCTTCCCACCACAGCAAGCCAGACTCAACAGTGTCCTACTGATAGACTCACACAGAAAGGGGGGTATAAACTGATGGTCGACTTACAGATGACAGAGTTTTCTGCACATTTGAAACAGCCCAGAGTGAGAGAAATAAGGTTGGCAGCTCTGCCTAAGGAGAAGGTTYAACCAGGGTAAACTGGCAAAAGTTGTAATCTGGTCATAGCCAATTCCTACCTGCAGCTAAATATAAAGAAACTGGGGAGTTAATTGTTTGTCAGAAGGGTGTTTCTTAATCCACATATTATTCAGAAGTTAAAAATGCTTCAATCCAAGATTTTAAGTTATCTTAACTAAGTTACTTCCTTTGCTTGTAATACCTCACACACCCAGGCATGGATACACAAGATTTTGGTGGCTTTTAGGAACCAAAGCAATGGTTAAGAAATACATTTTTGACTGCGTGACTTCYTGAAATCCACACTTAAAGATCTGCTACTCAGTAGAGTATCCACCTCAGAACTACCAACCACAAACTCAGTAGCGAGCCATCTAAACATGGACTTCTCCAGAACGAGGCACACTATCTCTTAAAGTCATGACACTCTATAAAACTAATTCCATTGCTCTGCTGGAATAGGATAATAGGGAGCAAGGTCACCATGGTGAACGCCCAGTGATTAGAGCACTCAAAATATCACTAAGAATCACTGATTCTTAGCCCCTTCAAAAGAAAAAAACATAAGACACAAATTGACCTCCTAAAGGTCTATTCCCTATGATTCCCAAGCAAAATGAAGCTCTTGGGAATGCCAGTCAAAAGTGATAAACTCTACCCGCCTCTGCTCTATTGTAAATGCTGGCCCATCACTGCACAAGAGTTTGTCTTGAGAGTAAAAGAGTTGCCATCAAGGAATTGTAGTCTCAAAGAACAGAGAAAACCAGAAGCAGTGTCATTATTGGTTGTATAGAGGCACATATGTAAGTAAGAGCAAAGTTAAAACCACAATTGCCGTTTAAGTGCAATTGAGAAACACTGYATGTGCAACCAGTGAGATTTTGATATATCTTGCTCGTACGCTTCTCTGCGTGCAAAATATTTTTAGAGGCTAGTGGCATTGTAGATACTAGACGCTCTAAGCAAATACATTAGCTAAAGAAGTTCATTAAACATTTCTTACTAAATTCCTTTAGYTTCTCACTAAATTCCTTACTAAATTCCTACTTTGCATTGACTACTTAGTTCTACAGGTTTTAAAAGGGACTGTAACATCCAAATTTGCTTACAGTGACTGCTGGAGAAAAGAATGCTGGATTGTGAAAGGCATGCTTCTCGAAATGCCATGAATTGCTAGTTTTGTATAATGACAAAGTAAATATTTRTAGGCAGCTAAACAGCATGATCTATTTTTCCTTTCTACAGAAAAAAGATCTCTTGAATAACACTAAATCTATTTAAAATCATCCTCACTGACTCAACAAGCAWAAACATAATAAATGCCATTTTACCACCACTTGAACATCTGCACGAGTTTCTTCCTCACCAGTTTCTGTGGTAAATATGAAATAAAAAGAGGTAGTGTTAGTGGTCCGTGTATCATCAGTGAGAATGTAATGAATATTCCTGGAGATAAATGCAAATATATTGCAGCTATTCTTTTAATATTCCCAGGTATCATTTCTTTTCCTCTTGCTGCCAACGTTGCAATGCATGAGGAATACCTGCACCAGCTTGAGGTGTTCTGCTATGTCAATGGTATCTCCATAAACTTCAGGTAGACTCTGTCTTCCCTGTTCTCCTTTCCCACCAAATCTCAGAAGGTTTCTGGTTTAGCAAGGCATCCTCTGCAGCTTTGTACCTTCTTGGCAGCCCATTTTTAGATCTGCAAGTGACGAGGAAGCAGAATGCTCTTCAAATCTCACCAAAAACTTGAATCTCCTGATCCTCAGCAGGGAAAATCTTGAAGAGGTTACAATCCAAAGGGACTATGAATCCCAAAGTAGTCATAAATGACAGAATCTTTAGAACAAAAACAGCCTGTAGGAGGAAGCAGAGGTGCTATTTGCTTATTAAGACAGGCCACTTTCAGAAACAAACCATAAACACAAGACAGGTTGGCATGGAGTGCTTTAGCAGAGTCCCAGAAATTAAAGACTATGGATGCAAGTTCTCTTCCTACCACCACCATTAATTAAAATGTAACCTCCGCATCTGACAGAACAAAACATCACATAACATCAGCATCAAGACAGTTTTCTTTCAATTAAGGCATCCAACGTAGTCAGGAAATTTCAGTGTTTCAAGGTGACAAGTCATTTGCTTTTAACATAATCACTTTCTRTATTAAATGGGGTGCTAGAACGCAGGATGCTTAAAAAGGTAAGATAATTTTTCTGATAGCTAAGACATTCTGTCCCTAGGGAAATGGTTTTAAGTGCTACTCATGTGAGTGTCAATCGCAATGAAGGCGACACAACACAAAGGACCATGAGAAGTCTAACGTAACACATAGCACTCCTCTTTTACACAAAATAGCATCTAAATTACTAGTCTACAAAGCAACCAGAATCATGGTATAATCACTTGACAGAAACTATCTACCAATGTTATCATCACAAAGCTAAAAATTGTTCTTCTGTCTGCAAAAAGACTATTGCTTCTATGCTCAGGGTTTTCCTGGTCAAGAAATACAGAATACAGAGGAAAAGAGAAGACCTCTGTCAGATCATAAACTAGAAATACTCTGAGCAAGCCACACAATGAGGTACAATGCAATGATTGTATTAGAAAGAAGAACCACTACAAAATATAGAAATATATTTCATACATCTATGAAATATAGAAAGAAGGTTGGTAGAGGCCAAAAAGAATAAGAGCCCTAACTCCTGCTACATCATTTCCTTAATAATTCATTCCTGTCTCCCTTCCTGAAGGTTTGGAGGAAGGTGGAGATGAGCTGATGGCTCAAGCATAAGCACTACAGCCAGGTGGCCTATAGATCTGAGGAGTTCAGTCAAACTGCATCTAGATTTCAGGGGAAAGATCACCGTGTTTTATTTCTGCAGCGCAGTGGATTGTAAAGGCACTTAAAAAAGCACCATTTGACATTGAAACCAATCGAAATAATTAAGATAACATTTGATCTCCCCTAGAAGATTTGATTCAGAAATAAGAATGTTACTCAGATGGAAAATATTGTCACTAAGAGACCCCACCTCAAGAGTGGAGAAGGAGGAAACAAAAGGACTTCCTTGGATCCCAAGCATCGAGTGCAGCCTTGATAACCGCTCTCCACTTCTTTGAAACAGAGAGTAATTTCATTCTGACCCTTCCTCAGGGAGAAGGAACAGGATATTTATTGGTACCAGAGACTAGCAGAGACATTGTTACTCTCTTGAGCAACAGCATCTCTGAATATTTTCCCTTTTCAAAGGAAACTTTTGAATATTTAACTTTTCAAAAGGAGTGCTGCTGAATAACAATTCCACTTTGGGATAAGTGCTATTTTTTTTACCTACTTATTTATATATAGTACACATTTACTATATTTTATATACATATATTTTTAATTTCATTGATGTAAATTTACAATTATAACAATGGAAGCCTCCCACGTTGGAAGCAACAGCTGAACTTTGTTGAATTTTCATGAACATTCAAAATAATAAATAGCTCAGCTGATGGCAAACGTTACAGCTCTAAGCTCTCTCTTTATTCTTAATGACAGCTGGTGGCAAAGATATGTAACGATGCCATGTTTCATGAGCTWAACAAGATTTAGTAAACATATGGAAGATATCAGATTTTTTTTCAAAAACTAAGTGTCTACGAAGACATTCATTTTAAGAACTAAACTGTGGTTAGAATTATCTGGTATTTCTCAATACCAGAGCTGGAACATCCATTCAGGCTACCTCAGCAGGCAATGGGAAAGCTCTGTGGGAAATTAGTCTTCAAATTTGCTTTGAGGAGTGGAGGGATAGGAAGGGGGAATCTCTTTCTCTCTAAATTGCTAAGGTTTACAAATATTGCTCATTTGAAAGTTTAAATGGGGTCATTTCAGGAGGAGGGAGAGCGAGGGAAGAAAGTGGATTTAACAGAAAATCTCTTCATGAAAGCAGGGTTTAAGCCTGGAAAACTGAAAGCAACATAGAGGACTCCTGCCTGGGCTATGTGACTCACATCCAGTGAAACAGTCCCTGGCCATGTAGAAATCCCATCAGGCCCCTATCCCAAACAGGGCTACGAGATCTCATTACATCTCTCTTCTTCTGTTAACCTCTTACCAGCAGGTTTAGCTTTCTGAACTTGAAATAATCAGTACGTTATGTACCGATCATGACCATTGCTCAATATACCATTATTTAAACTTAAAAGGAAGAATTTCAGTGATATGAACTAGATGCCAAACTGAAATGCAAGCTGAAATCTTCTTAAAAGCTCTTGTCTCCTTATGTTTCACAACTTTTATTCTTTTTTTTTATCCAAAAGGTATGTATTTTTCTCACACTATGAACTTTTGCTACGACAAAATTACACTACTGACTTTTTTCCTGAATGATGGATAAAAATATAAAAATTCTTTGACCAATTCTTTGACAGCAGTAGCAATATTAATCAAAGGTAAGGCCACGGTTTAAAGCCAAAGTAGAGTTTCACCTGTCCAAGAGAGATGAATTTTTATTTGCCTTCTCAGAAATTAAAATGGAATTAAACAAGGTCTCTTAGAAGCCATTAACCTACTACATGGAAAAATGTAGAGGCAATTAGTTCTTTTTTCATTAGGATGCCATATTGTTCAGAAACACATCATCTTTGAACATTCCACTTCAAAGGAATAAATAGGAGAATAAAGAGAACAAACTACCAGGTGAACTTGATGGAGATAATTGGAAGAAGTGAGTAGGGAGTCAACTTGCTCGTTATTGCCTAAACTATGAAATAATGTGCAAATAGAGGAGAAAAAAAAATTAAAAGTGACTTAACACCACTTGGGATGTTGTTTTCTGTCAACCTACATGTCAACATGTAGGTTGATGTAATTTTTTACTGATAACTTTGATGGAGAAGTAGATCTTGATGGGTTGCATGGAAGTTTGCTAGGACAAAAATTTATGTCTAATCACCTGAACAATAACAACTAAGTGAATCAATTTGTCAGAGAAGATAAATCCTACTGTATTTATGACTCAAATGAAAACCTAGAGCTATTCAATTTAATTACCATTCCTAGAACAGAAACCAGTTTTCCTCGAATTCATATTTTCCTTAGTAATCTACAAAAACTCACACAATAATCCTATCTACGATGACAAAAAAGCAAACGAAAACCATCTGGGTTCTTAGCTGTTCCAGACCACCATCAACACTATTCCATACACTCTGACTTTCAGAAGCAGAAATGTTAATAATTTCGAAATAGATCAATCTTCATTTCAAACTTCCCTTCCAGCCTTGTTTGCCTGCACTATGAACTATGTAAAAATCCGCCCTATAAAATGGCCCAGCGGGAGAACATTTGAGCTTAACAAAAGCATTTACTACTTAATCCTACTTAATTCTACTTAACTCTACTATTTAATTCTTTTGTTACAAATCAAAGAGCAATCAAAGAAGAATATTAATTTCACACTTCCTGATATTTTTTAAAGATAAATTATTAAGACAATGTAGACAGGACTAGTGTCTTCCAAGCTGTCCCTCAGTAAAGTCTATCCCTCAACAACGTGTTACATGTAGAACACACAAGCTATTAAGATCCCTTTGTTTCCTCCTCAAGAAGTTTCTTCCTGAAGATGAGGAAAAGTGGCAGGAAATTGGGGAAAAAACGGCAACTGACGGAGCATTCTGCATCTACACTCTCCAGGTCCCAGGTTTTGTGACCACTTACACGTAGGCAACACAGMAAGACTTCACCTTGGAGGCAGGAGCACTGGAAGAAATCTCCGTGCCACACTGCAGACCCAGGGAAATCCAGAGCACACGGAGGTCTGTATCACACATATGGGGCTGTAGGTCCGGGAGAGCTGGGATGGAAAGTTCCTCAATTCTACCAGTGGTTTTAATTTCCAAGAAAATGCCCCCACTCTTTCTGAAATCAAATAAACCGAGGAACGCAAAGAGCAGTTAAATATGCTCTCACTGCCCTAGTCTGAAGAAGTGAGAATCTCTTTTTCTACAAAGTGCTTCCCATGTCTGAGATGCTTTTAAGTGACTTTCTGTAAAACTGGGAGGCAGTATGGGTTATTCAGAAAGCAGGAGCTTTTTTGACTTAAATAGCAGTGGCAATCTAGGTAATTACTATTGCTGTTACATCACTGTTAAATTAAATCTCTTCTATCTGAAGAAGATCAGATGTGGGAGATGCTAGCATGCCAGTTTTTAAAACACTGAGTGCTGCACTGGAGAGAATGCAGTTTTGCAGCTGTGCAGCTAAAGAGGAATGGAAAGAGAATTTGACAGGCAGCCCCTAAACACGAACAGCATCCGCTGGTTATTGATCTTGGGTTTCCTCACAGCTATGAAACATGAATTGAAATAGATACRGTCTGATGCTGTCCTAGAGGAAGCATCATTTCCCCTAAACACCGAGTGAAGAAGATTTAACTGTTCCATCTAAAAAAAAAAAGTGCTGCTTTTTCAAGGGAAAGTAGCCTTGACATTCAGGAAAGGAACAGCTTACAGGGTCGTTGGCAAAGACACACTGATCCAACCCGACACTTTTTTCCCACAGGTTTACATCTCTCTCACAGATGATTCCATGAGGAAAAGTCTAGAGAACTTCCTCCTTTTTTGTGTCCTCTCCGAAAAAGAGCAGCAAGTACACAGTAAGTGCATATTTAAATGATGGGGTCCTGCAGGGTGCATATCATTTAGACAAGCATTGCTTTAAATTAGAGTGGTTTGAAACCACATCTGAGGACAACCTATCTTTCCAGGCCAACAACCGTCTGCACAAGGTAGACGCGGGCTGAAACCTAACCCAGGACTTCAGAAGCAGCAACGCTTTTTATCTGTTTTTAAAACAGCAAGTTCCCGCTTGTTTGCTGTCTCACCATTATTTCCACTTTCAATGCATTAAACCATTATCTCCGTTTCTTTCATGTTTGTTGATCGGAAAGACAAGTTAAAATTAAAAACCTTACCTGGGAGGGAACTGCCTGCTCCACAAGAGAAGAACCCCAGTGGAAGACACAAACACGCTGCTAGACGACAATTTAAAAGAGGGGAAGGACGCACACCTTAAAAGTAGTAAGGCATAAAAGTATTAAGTGTGTATTGGGACATGGGAGGAAGCTCCCAACACTGCGGGGGCCCAGTAGGCCCGGCCTGCTCCTGGTTTAAAGGTGCAGCCCAACAAGTTGAGGCCGGGAGGGTGAAAGGGGCCGTCGGTGGAGGAGGCACGAGCTGGATTCCCCGGAGCCGCCCGCTCCCGGCGCTCGGAGCCGCCGGAGGGGCTACCCCGCCGCTCTATTTTTACCGCGGTATTTTTTGCATTCAGACTTTCCACTGCGGGCGGCCGGGCCAGGGGGCCCGCGCGGCCGCGGGAATCTGACAGGTCGGCCCAGCAGCGGTTATTTATAGAGGGGCGTGGGGCGGAAGGGGGGCGCGCAGACGGCATCGCGTTCTCCGGCCGGGAGCAGGGATGAGGGACGGGAGGGTCACCCGTGAGCCACCTGCCCCCCAAGGAAGGGAACCGAGGCCGGGACGTGTGTCCATCAGAGCCACGGTGTCAAGGAGCTCCCCTGGCTCAGGCCGAGACCCAGGCACCCTCCTTCCCTCTTTTTGCCCCATCTTCCCGCACACCGCCTCTCGGAGGCRAGGACGCAGCTCAGACACGGCTTCTCATTCTCCTCGTTGCACATCCTGGCAAGAAGAGGATGGGATTCTCTGCCCTGCTGCCCGGGCGACTCCCTAGGAGAGCCCTGCACAAAACTCTGCTCCYTGAGAGGACAAACTGTGGCTGCCAGGGGACAGAAAAGGACCGCGTAGCCAGCAGGCACTGATTATTAAGTCCTCCTTAGGGAGGATTGAGCTTTTGCTGCACTAATGTGATAACCCGCCCAGAAAACGGGCATATCACCCACCCCTTTCCCTTGCGCTGGAGAATTGCTTCCGATGAGGGTAAAACCAGGGCAGAGCAGGAGGAGCAATCAGCAATATTCCCATCTATAACCAGCTGCCCKCTCCCACCCTGGTGCTGAAGACCTTTAACCAGAGGAGGTGCCTGCACCGCGGGCGCCCACCCCTGCCCTGGTGTGCGTGGCCTGGCACCCACCCCCCACACCTGGCTGGCATTTTCCCGGGATACCCGACACGCTGGCAGCGTTGGGCTCTTCCCACGCCGCGCAGCGGGGCTGCCGTGTGTGCCAAACCCGGCCGCCCCAGGGGACGGACGGCGCCGGCCGCCTCGCACCCACAGCGCTGACGGTGACGGTCCGGCCCGGGAACAGCCCCGGCAGCCCCGGCCTCCGAGCCCCGGCGCGGGCCCAAGCCACAGCTCCCACYTCTGATGGAAGCACCATTTGTGCTCGTCCCCGTGTTTGGGTGACCCGGAGCTGCTGGAGCAAAGTCTCGCCAAGCACGTGCAGCCACTGGGATGCACCAACGGAAGCATTGTGTTCCCACTCCTTCAGAAAGCCGGGATTCAGCATTCCTGGGTCAGAGCTTTTACACAGTGGCAAGAGCAGGAGCTGCTGGGATTCTCAGGATGTTCCCTTGTCCAATTCCGCCTGCTTYTGGAAACACCACTGCCCTTCTAGTGAGGGAGAGCTCTGCCTGGGTGTTCATCCACAGCAGCCTCCGAATGCACCCCTCTCTTGGCCAGGGGGGCAACGACAAGCAATTTTACTGAAGCCCCATACTGCCAAACACAGAATCGCCAGACGGAAATGTTCCTCGAGGGAGCAGGGCGCTAAGGCTCAAACAKGTATATCATCTTAGCAAAAAATAAAAAATAAATCTCCTGTAGTCCAGTAAACCTGCATTTTTAAGTAATTATTGGCACTGTTTACAGCCACGGCTTCTTCCATTCATATCTGCAGACATCATCTAACACAAAACRATCATCTAAGCAATATTCCAGATATAAAATACATAACTGGACAATTTAGTATATTAGAGAGCACCTTGAGCTCTGGCACATTTCAGCCAATGTGTACTTTTGTTCCCCGCACACCCCTTCTACACAGGCACACGGCACAGGAGCGCCCACAAAGGCTGCTGGAGGGGAAGCCAATGCTCCCTTCAGTCCCTCATAGTCCCAGGCTCCAAAAGATGGAAGGAAAAACTACACTTTGTCCTAACGCCCCTATCAGAAACTAGCAGAGCACAAGCAGATTTCTCCAGCCTGGAGATGTGCACTTTGCTGCTTGCACCCCAAGAGCCTTCTCAGAAAAAGACAGTTCTGCTGGCTCCATCAAAACAGCTTACCTGAGCAAATACTACATATAAAGTCTGAAGGCTCACAGGAAGAGAGACTTAGCTATAAATGCTTGATAAAAGAGGGGAAAATATTGAGTATATTTCTTTCCCATATAAAGTTTTGGACAGTGTTTGGAATCCCTGACCCCAGAGGAGCCCACAAACCCCTACCAAGTTTGCAAGCCCAGTGCATTCAGGAGGTGTCAGCAGCCCTCCAAGCGATGTATAAAGTGCTACTGTTTCTTTTGTTACCTTTCCATGGCTGTTTACATTAGCTCAATGATGAGCTGATATTGTCTATGCTGCYAGAGACTGCTGCCTATGCCGCGTGAATCACAGCACTCAAGAAGCTTACAACACAGAGAGACGGAAGAATAGGTTACAAACACAAAACTAAGGAATTAGAATTCAATAGTGCTGCCTGGTTCATCTTGTAAGAACGCAGGAAGGGTCTAAACAGCCATATGGAAAAATCTATTTCCATAGTCGAACCGCTGAAAGCCAAACCTTCCCAAGAGATCCCAGGAGCGCGTTAGGAGCGCCAGACACCGATGTCATTTCAGCCTCCCAGCCCCTCGGCCAGACCGCTAACAATTAGAACAAGCGCCGGTTAATTAATCGCCAGCCACGAAATTCCCCCGAGCCCTCTGCCCCTCGGGCCGCGCCGGGAGCGCGGACACGCGCCGCGGCGCTCACAAACTTCACCGTCCCGTCCCGTCCCGGGTGCTCCCGTCCCGTCCCGTCCCGTCCCGGCGCACGGGGCAGGACTCCGCGCTGCGCCCGGGGGCCGCCCCTCTCCGCGGACCTGTTCCCCGGGGCGCGCCGCGGCCGCGCGCGCGGGGACGGCGCCGCGGGGGCTCGGCGGAGGCGCGCGGCTGCCGCGTTCCCGCCACGGCCGCCCCGCCGCGCGGTGAGGGGCGCGCGCGTCCCCCCCGTGCTCCCGCCGCGGGGATGCTCCGCGCGGGGAGCCGGGGCCGCCTTACCCGCGGCGCGGGCAGCACCGGGCGGTACCGCTCCTCCGGGGCCGGCAGCGCCGGCAAGGGGCGCGGGCACAACATGCTGCGGCCGCCGCCGCCGCCTCTCGCCTCGCCCGCCCTGCCGCGCGCAGGCAGCCCTCGCGGCGCGGAGCGGGGGGGCCCCGCGTTTTGTCTGCTCGGCCCACGGCCCCCCCGCCGCCGCCCAATAACGAGGAACCTCCGCGGAGCGCGGCCGCATCCCCACCCCTTCCGCGCACAGGGGCGCGTCCCGCGGGCAGCGCCGCGCCCCGCGCACGGCGCCCGCTGCCCCCCCGACAGCGGCGCCCCGAGGGGACCCGAGCGGACCGGGGGGCGGCCCCGGCCCCGCGCGCCCCCCGGAGCGGGATCCCGCTGAGGGGCGCGGAGGGTCCCTCTCCCGCCCGCGGGGACAGYGGCCTCCGAAACATGCGGGGACGCGTGGAGCCCCCTGGCCCCGTGTCGGGATTCAGGGATGTGGAGCCKCCAGACAGCAGCGAGGCTGAAACCAGGAGCCGCCTCCGAAACGGAGATCACGGGCGCGATCCAGAAACGATCAAGGCGCTGAGGGAAACGCGAGGTTGACGGACGGGAGCGGGGACCCCCAGGAGAGCGAGGGTCCGTGCAGCCCCGGCCGGGAGCTGCTGCCGCTGCCAGCTCTTGGAGAGCGGGGCTCTGAGCTCCGGCCTCCCTCCTGCCTGCGCTTTTGCACATCTTAATGATACTAAAACGCTATCATGGAAAACATTAAAGGCAGAAAAGAGCCCTAAAACACTCATAGCCACAATTAGCTAGGCACAAATAATGCCAGGTTTGTGCCTAGAGGCTGTAACTCATGGTCGTCGCTTTGGCTCTCATTGAAGATAGTTCCCCTCATTATATATATATGTTTAGAGTATCCATGTACATGTAATCCTGTCTTTTCTATATATGTTTATACACACGCATATTAACCTGCAAGACAAACTTCTTCTATTTTTTTGCCAGCATCTTATCCAAATGCCTTTCCTACTGTACCTTTGCATTTAGGTCATGTCACTTCCAGCTTGCACGCAAACTTCACAGGCCCTGGCTTGGGCACTCCGTTCCGCCCAAGTGCTGCTGTGCATAAATACTCCTGCTCAAAACAATCCAAATCTGCATTTTTTTCACCCAAAGCTCCCTCAAGAAGGAGATTTATTTATTTATTTATTTATTTGGGGCTGATAAAAGGAAAGATGGGACAAGGCTTGGAAGTGCTTATGTAATACCTCCCAATCTTGTAGGGGAAGGAAATCATTACTTCAGGCTGTAACGTTGGTCAGAAGGTAACTACAGTCTGTTACTTACAACAGTGTTATACAGAGATCAGTTAGCCCTGTCAAAAATCAKGATTAAAACAACAAATGAGAACCAAAACCCAGGAGGTGCAGGGCATGGCTGCGATCCCACGGCACGCTCAGCCTTCATCCAAGGATGTGTTCTCCTTGGCAGTGATGCCGTGAACTCCATCCTTAAACCTATCTCAGCTCCTAATCTCATACCACTTCCCTCAGGTTCAGGGGCCATTCAGATTGTGGTTTCCAAGCTCCAAGATTCAGCCCTGCTGATGGCAAAGCAGAGCGCGGCACTGAGACAGAGCTGAGGTCCATTTTTGTTGGCATTTTTTTTTAATGAGAAAAATCACCGTTTGAAAAAAAAATTTAGATTAAATAGTATTTGGTTAAATTAAGCCCCTTCAGACTATTGCTTATCTCTAGACAGAAATAAAAGCTGCCGTTTAGGCTGCCTTGAGACTGACTTCATGACCTCATGCCTGATGATTCTGATAYAGTAACTCTAGCAGAAACTTGTTTTCTGGTAGATTAGCATAAAAGCACTTTAACATAGAGTACAAATAATTCATTAGCATGTTATCATTAAGGGAAATCATTATAATGTTACCATCAATGTGCATGCCTTGATATCTTAGTGCAAATGTGACTTGATTTCTTTCCCCTCTACTTTTTTCCCATGCGTCTGACTTCCTGGTAGGCAGATCCCTAGAGAATCCTCTCCTTTTATACTTCTTTAGAACAAGTAATTGGCTTGTTTGAAGGGCAGATGGGAGTATAAACTCATGAAGCGGAGTGCCTTAAATGCCCAYGAGCAACAGCAATAGGGTAAATGGGAACTGTGCAAGCGCGGAGAGGCCTCGGCTGCCCGTGACCTCCAACCCTCCAGGGTCCCCGCAGGCATCTCCCACTCCTGCTGCCAGGCTCAGGACCAGCCCKCAGAGCACGAGGGCTCTTGGCTCCCTCGCCCACAAGGCGCAACCTCACAAAGCCCGACGCASAGCAAAGACACTCACCTCCATCGGAAACGGCAACGACTCCCGGTTCGTAGCTGGTCATAAACTCAGCTCAAAGGTGCAATCCAGCACAGAAGCTTTCAGGAACAAATTTTGGTGCTGTACGCACATTAATATTTCACTTTCTAGTAGTTAATGTTCAGAAGAACATCTTTAATAATTCACCTTTATACTCCTGCACGAGGCCAAGATCGTCCAAGTCCATCCCATTTATTTTATTTTAATCTACTTCCCCAACCCATTCTCGTAATTGTCAGATGAATAAAATGAAGGAAGGTGGTTACGTAATTCCAGCATTAACCCAAGCAGTAAGAGCTGTCACTGCCAAGGAAGGGCACAAAGGGCGACCAGTTCTGCTACCGCTTCCATTACCAGGTTGTCAGTCAGATTTGCTCAGGGAAAGTTTGTTGCATTAAGCACCGGAGCACTTGGAACAAACACGGGATTTTTCAAGGTGCTTTTGATGTATTTATTGGCTGACTTGCTTTTTACATTAAACTGTCATACACAATGCCCTCGTTAATGTTACAGGGAACAAAATTGCCCAAGGATCCTGCCATCCGAAACRCTGGCAACTTGTAAGCAGCTTAGTTCAGTGGAGAGGGGAGAATGCTCACCAAATGGTACTYAGCATCAGGGAAAAACCTGAACAATTTTGCATTGTACATATAGCTAAATATTATGAATACTGAGTCTCATCATGATCAGCCTTGTTTTTACATGTTTTCCTTTAGCATCAGGCCATACTATAGCATTTGTTCCAATGTATGATTGCCAATATGCAAGTTCTTTGTAAAACTGTTAATATTCACAGTATTTGCTCATGTTATGCAACAGTACTGTTACTAGTACACATGTACAATTGTACACTTAAATTGCTGGAAAAAAAATACATTCAGTTCAGTATTTCCCCTCTAGAAACACTACTAACACTTCATGYCCACTGAGTAACAGGTGACTTTATCTGTTGCTTGTACTTCCAAACACAGCCATGCTCAYGACACAGAGCTCCAACCAACCAATAACAAAAAAAAATAAATAAACTTAAAAAACGAAATAGAAGCCAATCATGTATTAAACTACATGTCGGGTGAACTCACACACTTTTTTTATGCCAACAAACAAATATCTGGCTCAGTTTATAGTACAAAGACCASGGTGAAAATGACTCAGATGCTGCTATACAGTTGGATGGAATAAGATGCACAGAATTAGTTTGAATAATCTGAATTTGAATCTGTCAAAGATAGGATCATCTTAAAATATGTGAGGCTCAGGAAAGATGGAAATCATTTAAGGGGAACATGTCTGTTAGTTATATAAACTGGATTACTTTTAAAAATCAGAGTGCTTTCTTATTATAATAGAGAGTTCAAGATGATCAACAAGCAGCAGATCTTTTTCACATAAATAAAATATTCAAAGCAAAAAAAAAAACCCCAAAATAAAAAAGAAAACAAGATCAACTTTAAGCATATAATTCAAGTGCAGCCCATTTCCATGGCTATTTCTTCTTCTGCCATGAAGATAAGGAAAAACTTTACTTTGCACTTCTCTACAGAAATAGCTATCAGTAAACAGAAAGGAAAAAAAAAAGGAGTTATTTTCACATAAAAGCTTTTTCCACAATGGGCTCATTCATGTTCATCTGAATACTTCAGCTACAAAGAGGGKTTTTTTTTCTCTCCTTTTTTTGTATATTTGGACAATGGCTCACATTTTTAGTTCAGCTGAACAAAACTTTCCCTTTTTCCTCCTCTCTCAATGACAGCAGAATTATTGACAGAGCAGTCACAAAACAACATTGCCTCACTTGATGAAACAACACTGTGAAACCGAATTATCTTCTGGGCATCAATATTACAGGAAAATGGTTTATTCCTTATTCTATAAAATAATCAAACAAAGAAACAATTTCAAGTTCCTGGTGCATTTTCAACTAATTCTGTATCTTTACGTACTAATGGTCTGACATACAGCAATGCAAGTATAGCATGTTTTTAAAAAGTCAATTAAATAAAATAAAATAATATCAAAAAACATCAACCTATACCAAATGTTACCAAGCCCAGTTTTCTCTTTTGCTCAGTTCAGATGATGAAAGAGACTGAGACTCTTTCCCAATTTGGAAATCTCTACAAAGTCTAATAATGTTGCCTACTAGAGTTTTGCTTTTTTCTTTTTTCTTTTTTTTTTTTTCCTCCCCTCTTCGTGCTGCTGTTAATTACAGCAGAGATTGACTCAAACTAGTATCAGGTCCCTTTACAAGTGGGCTAATGTTGACTAATCCAGCTTTCAACTCAACTGCAGTCTTCTCTAATTCATGCAAACAGTTCTGCTGCTTTTGCAGAATTTGCAATAAAACTATATACCTGACTGCAAAGGCAATCAAATGCTGAATCAAATGCTGCTAAAGGAAAAACCCACTAATAAACCTCCCCAAACCACCAGCTTTGTGCCTTGTCTTTCAAAATACCTTCTAAGTAGGCCTTTTTCAGTTAATCACATTGCTGTTCATCAGCACAGAATTTCTAGCAGAGATTTTAAAAAACCACTGTACTCTTTGGCTGAGACAATGTAGCTTCTCATATAGTTTTGAAGCTCTGAAAATCTTAATAGTTCTACCAGCAACCAGGGCCCTGAAACATTTCTGTACTGATACCCCAAGGCAAGGGACTCCAGTTATCAACAAGAAAATATCTAAGCACTTTCAAGATGAGATAATTCATACATAATTAGCAAGCACCATCCAGATGAATTAAGAACTACATAATTGTATAAATTACTCAATTACTTTACACTTTTGTACATCTATGCAAATATTCATATGTGACATTTATTTATAGAAATATTCAAGAGATGCTCTAAGTTTAGCTTCATATTGCCCCCGTCAYCAATACTAGAAAGCAGCGATGAGGACACATCCCTGTGCACTGAAACTACCTCACCCATGTTCAGTCCTCACATCTCTGCACTAAATGAGGCTTTCAACTGGTTTAATTCTGAGGAAGAGGAGAAAAGCAGCCTGGAATGTGGCCCTTATTCTTAGTGTTTCAGCAGCCTTAGAAAATAGCTCACATTTCCTCTCACAATTCTGATACGAGGCTACAGACCATTCAAATCTAACTGAAGTTCCCCATTAGTTATCATTAAAATTAACATGAAGCACAGGAATTATATTTTGTGTGATACACCATGAAGACTAGCATAAAAGTACTAATCTTTAACGAAACACTACATTTATTTTACTGGAAACAAACATTCAGTAAAGCATTTTATGCTAAGCTACTCTTAATATTCTAGAATGGAGACAAGAAAAGTAACCATATAAYAAAATAAATGTTAACAGATCTCAACAAGGTAAGTTACACCAGCACTTCAGTGTAGACTAAACCKACTACTTCTTGACTTTCAGTGTCTGAATTGATAGTTTTGTGCTGTGAATGTAGGAATACAAAGGATGACACTTCTTCCCAGTCCTGTGCTCTTGTGGTAAATATTATACTTACATAACCTATGCATATTAAGTTCTACTATACACACTAATATTATAGTAATAATAGCTACTTAAAGCCCCACTGAGGTATATTCAATATTTGAGAGTCATTTCAGTCATTGTAGGCCATGAGCCATGCAAGCATGACAACAGCAACCCCAAACATGGGCAGCATAATGAGGTTCTTATACTTCTGCCACGGTGATTGCTCGATTTCTACTTCATCYTTTCTCTTCTTATTCTTTCTTCGTCCTCTTAACCTGTTTTCAAAAGCTTCCAGTTCTGCCTAGATAAAGAAAAACAGGAGAAATAGGTAGTGTTGTGTGAGGATTAAGAACAAGGAAACATTCAAATTCAAGTAATATTCCTGAGGTTCATTTATAAAAATAACTGCCAGCTAATGAAAGTTACACATGCCTTGAAGATGAGATGGCAGCACCACATCTCATGGTCATATGGCACTTGGCTTCCGAGTATTAAATAATCCTTTAGTTTCTAATAAAGCACTGCCAAAAATACAACCAACTGAAATGTTACATGATATTTTTATCTCAGACTGAGTATCTTAAGCCAAGAAGAGACTGCTATTTCCATGGTACAGGTTGAAATAATGTGTTTTCCCATTAGATCAAGCTCCTGGGGAGTATTTTTAAAACTATTACAACATCACATTTAAAAGCATAGGCTGAAAACCAGAAGAAAACACATCCCTGTAATAAGGATGCCCTTCTAACCAATGCTAAGAAAATCTATCATTTTTTCCCCTCCCCAATTCTTTGCATCTTGCATGCTCTACTACATTTTAAAATAACATCTATAAAGTTAAGAAATGGAATCTTTGTTACGCCCAAGTGCTGTAACTCCTACATCTGGCTGTAGTAGGTGCGTATTACCCTGTAAGCATGTGCCTTTGGGCCCAGAAACAACACAAAGGAACTGGCAAAATTAAGAAGAACGTAAAGCTCCTGCCCATAACAGCATCTGCAGGGTTGAGCCTAGGTTGCAGAGTAGGAATTAGGCAGCCTGGAACACAGAGTGCAAGACTAGATGCTGGGGCCAGCTCATTGCTGGGAATACCACCACCAGAAAAGATGTCAAGACATCTAAAGGTCAAGACAAGTTAGAAACAGAAGAGTTGTGACAAGGATGTGGATTTTRGGGTGGACTACTGGAGAAACGTGGGACAAGGGGCTAGGGAACAGAGGGATATTAGATAAACACTGAAAGACAGCGGAGATCAGAGAAGCCAGAATGTCCGGGCAAAAAGAACAAGACTGATCTGAGGCAGAGGAAATGTGCCCGGTGAGAGGCAAAGCCTGGCTACCAAAGAAAATAAATCTACAGGATTACTGCAGGAGGGCTGCCAGGAACAGTGGGGCTAAGGCAAGGAGGGAGGTGCATTAAAGACACGAGAATGAGTCCGTGTGGGGAAATGGCAGAGAAGGACTCTCCAGTAAATACAATTTTCCTTTGGAACTGTATGATGTCTGGTATTCCCCTACTGGCAGAAAATATTTGAGAGAGTTTCACAAAGCTCATCTTACTTTCCTTCCTGTGCCAGATACCACTTTTAGCAAGCAAAAAGGACCATTTTGATGGTTATTCCTTTGTATCCTAATAAAGGCAGGAACTGCTGGCTCTTCTCTGATGATAGGGCAGAAAAGTGCAGAACAAGCCCCACAGCATTTGAAACAACATTGCTTACAGCTATCTAGCTCGCCCTTAGAAAAGCAAAATATTTTAATGAAACAATTTTTAAAAATTTAGAACTTGAAGGCCAGTACAAGGTTCTTAAAGTCTGAGACATAACATAGCAGAATTCAGTTTTGCACAGATGTGACACATGTTTTGCAGGTATTATTAAATCCTKGTGATCTGCAAAGGTTAACAGCAGAGAGTGTCAGGTATTGCAGTTATCTGAATTAAGATACAGGATTTCAGCAATTAATAAGCATACACTTTTGCTTACCTAGTGATCTTTAAAGAAACTGGCTAAAAATAAAAACTTGATAAAAACAAAAAGTGAGAAACAAGCACATTCCTGCATACAGATTTTGAAGATACCATTTCCTTACAAAACTACCTATGGGTTTTACGTAATTCTCAGTCATAGTGTAACCTCAGTGGCCCCTGAATTATAAGAGAGCAATTCTACCTAATCTTCACCATCTCTTTTTTCCCCAAAAATAGCTCCCCTTAAGAGCTAAAAAAGCTCTAAGTTTTTATAGAGTAAGAATTTCTCCATCTGCATACAGATTAAAAGCAAAATGAAATGCATTTTTTGAAGGATAATGTCCAGTTTATTGTTGCCCAGGTACTGGATTTTGCTCCCATTTCTGCCATCCTCTACACTCTGCACCGAAAGGAAAGGCAGCCCTACAGGAAAACACACTTAAGAGGATACAAATAAAATACTGACTATACAGACATAGGTGCATCCTGAACTTGCAAATCTTGCACCTTACTGTATTTGAGGTGTCACAGCACGAAGCTTCCTACCTTTGGCAACCGTGAAAACCCTGGTCTCACAACCTTGTCCTGCACTGGATGCAGAAGGAAAGTCCAGCTGTGAAASTCAGCTAACTAACCCAGCTTCTAACTTAGGTTAAGAAGCAAGARATTCCATCCTTAAACAGATATTAAGGGAAGCAATTAAGAAATACAGAAAATAACAAAATATAAATCTGCAGATGCAGCCACAACATTGACTMGTGTGTGCACAAAGGATTTACTAAAGCATTAATCAAAATAGGCCTGAGGAAGCTGTGACTATCAAATGAGCACTTGAAGCAAGAACGTACTAGTGAGATCAGGAACATGGTACAAGATGCATCATTTGTCAGGAGGGACTAAGAAATACATGTACTGAGTATAAATGGACTCAATAGCCCRTAATAGTGAGGTGCAGCAAACTGTATCACCAGACAGCAGATTTATGAAATCAAATTGGAAAAGAAGCAGTTTTTGATATCGCAGACTGCACTAATGAGGCGAATGTGCTCTAATATTGGGGAAGGATCAATACAGTGACTTCTCTAGACAGACTAAGAGTTAAGTGATTACGAGGCAGAAATCATTAGTCACTGGATGCCTTCTGCCACAAAACAAAACAAACAACCCAGTGCAATACAAACACCAACAAATTCACATTTCTAGTTAAARAATTTTTATCCTTAATATGCAGTATTGTCAGTTTTAGATTATCACTATCCAGATAAAACATTTCAAGTTCCTGCAGGCAGGCTACACTTCCTGATTTAACTCCAGAAGCAGCATTTCTAAGTTCTGTTTAGAAAAACAGTCTGCTAAACTGAGGCACATGAAGGCATATGTAGATCAATATTGCAGACAGCTGAGGTGTGAATGACACGGTAAATAAGATGATCACAGCCCACTGCCTGATGCCCAGGACAACAGGAATGCACTGCATGCTTGTCCAGCATAAGGAACATACTTCCATTTAGAATAATTCTAAAAAGCAGGCCTTGCTAGGGCCTGATAAAGATTAGTGCAGATGATGCTTTAGCAAAGCCTTTGTGCAATTAACAGAAGCACAGTTAATTGAGGCACAGCTCCAGCTGGGGTTCCCAGGGCYCTCTACACAGGAACATTCTGCTGAGATTGGACAAACAGGCTCTCTTAGACCCTGCCGAGCAGAGGGCAGACTCTGCTCCATCTGCTCCACGATAAGGCTGGGAAGGGAATGATAAATCCAGGTGAAGATACCAGCTCAGCACCTAATTGTTTTGGTAAGTGAGAATCATAAATCACCTCCTGGAATGGGACTTTCTGTCAAATTCTCCATCCCAGGCACACATGCGTTAAGTAGTGAGGAGTTCACAGCACTGCAGCCTCTGGATGACAAACCTGACCAAACCCTCACCATCAAACCAAGSCTACAACCATTCACTGAAATAAGATGACTATGAGAGAGCAGGCAGCTGGCACAGCAACCTCCTGGATTACAGTGCTGTCAACATACATTCACCAACAACAGGCAACAGCAGCAACTAATGACAACAATGGCAAACACAGTAAACACACATTTTTTCCCCCCACAAAGACCTCAAAGAAAATGACTCATTTGGGCTTCTTCATTCTTTCAYGGTTGAAAAAAGCTTCAGCCAATATTTAAATGGCTATGGAGCCCACTGAGCAACTCTGCTTTTTTACATATAAAACATTTAATAAAAATTCTAAGTACATACATACAATAAAACACAGATCAATTTAATTATCATTTTACAAAAAATGATAAAAGTTGTTTGGGAAAACATTTGGACTCTGAACAATAAGTCATTCCCAGCACAGACTTCTTAGTGTGAGACACCAGCTGACAGGAAATACTGTGACTATCACTTTACCAACCACACCACTAGTTGCATGTAAAATAAATGATTTGTTGAAAGAACAAACGGATGAAGTGTGGGAGGATAAAGAAAGGTTGATACCTGTTGTCTTCGTTTCTCTTCTTCAATAGCAGCTTTGGCTTCAGCTTCTTTTATCTGACCAGAAAGAAAACGAGCAACTGTTAGAAACAACAACTAAATCTATTTGCTTACTGAACTTTAATTACTTTTTATAGACAAGTTCTCAACAAAAGTAAGCAAAACTTTGCAGGTGTGTTTTTATTTATTTATTTAGATCATAAAATATTCTGGGAGAAAAAAGCGCCATCATCTTATGCTTGCAAAAGATTGAGCACATAGTGGATAGTGCCAGGTTGTAAGTTGATCTTCTGACCAATTTTAAACCAACAAGCACAATCAGCAAATTCAAAGCCTGAAAAAAGTGTTTGTTCACTAGTAGCCAGAGAAAATGCTAGAGATAGTTACTCTAAATTGTCAGCATCCTAATCTTCAATTCAGAACCATTTACATACACAGCTAATACCTGCATATGTATGTAATTCATATATAAACACACCATATTTCAATACTCCATGACTATTACAGAACAAGTAATTTGCACATTTTTACTGAATATGATATATTTCGGATAATGCATATCCAAACTGCTTTGTGGCCCACGGGGTAATGCAAACTGTGAATGTAACAAAGTAGTTCATGCAAAAATCATAAGAGTATTAACAATCATACTTCTGTAGAGGTGTTTTGTAGCATTCAAGAAAYCAGATGAAACACTAAAAATGATTATGGAAAGAACAAAAGAGAAAACAACATCAATATATAAACACAGGGTGCCCTTGAACCTAAGCTCCTGCATTCAGTTTTGGTCCAGCACCATCAGAAAAATATGGAGCTTGGACACACGCAGSGTGGAGTGGCTCGTGCCTAAAGAAGAGAGCGTGCCTAGGATCTGTCAGGGGAAAAGGAGGTCAGTAATTGAGTACATCAAATCCTGAAAGGTGAGAAGACACTGAATAGGAATAAGTTAAAAAAAAGTTAAAATTAAAAATTTGATTTATAACTTGAAATTAAAAAAGATCTTGATCCCAATAATAACTTGTGTGTGTACATGTATAGATATGTTTATATATATATGTAAGTATGTTTATCATGACTTGCATACTACCAGTGTCAAGTGTGGACTCCAGCTACGCTGTTAAACTGAGCTTAGTGTGCTAAGTAGTTGAAACTGTGTCCACTAAGGACAGGACCAATAAAAGGCCATCATATCTGCAGCTTTAACCAAGGCTTTAAAAATTGTTAAAGCTTTTTGTTTTTAATGAAGACTTTTATAGAATTAGACACAGTAAGGGAACCTCTTATTAGAATAACATACAAAAAATCTTTTCATCCATGCATCTCTCATCTRGGGTTGCAAAGTGCGAAAAAGCGGCACAATTAACTGGCCTCCTGATATTTTACTGCCCTCTAATGGCACAAAATCAGCTCCAGAAGAAAAGCAGCAAATCACAAATGTCAAATAAAGCAACAAAGAAGTATTTTACACTAGTGCAGTTACAGTTGTGTGAGTTTTACAGGAGGGAAATTCACCAATATAGTCCCAATGTTGAAAAATATTTCTAGAATTACTACTTTAACAATAAAATATATAGTAAGACACTTCAGTTGCTCAGAAGTGCACACTCACTAGTTGTTATATACTGTTTCATAAGAAGTAACACTTCATTTTTGGTCGCTGATGGTCATTTTGCAATGGCAAACTGAATTCTCTTTGCAAACAGCTGTGATTTTTAACAGACATTGCAGTCTTGCCATGTTGCAGTAAACTTGTCAYTTACTATTCTAGCACATCATTTTCAAGTCAACACAGACTGCACAAAACTGCTTAGTGAGCATTGAAGTAGAACTTTACAACTTTAGACAAGAAAAAAACACCAGAACACCCTTGTCCCATGTAGACCACAGCAGCAGGAGCAAGAAATAGGAAAGGGCAGTTACCTGTGTAACACAGTAACTTAGAATGAAACAGCTGTAAAATGTTATACTACATGAATCACTAGAAATTGGCAAATACTGCTAAAAAGACTCAGGATAAAACACAGGTATTCTTCAGACAGATGACTCCTTTCAACCAGGGTGCTTTTTGCTCCCTTAGGGGAATTCAGCCATTAGCACTTCCAGGCAYAGCCCCAGGGAAAGGTGCTCCTCTCCCTCAGCTCCTACAGGCCTGTCCCTGCCTCACCTCCTTCTCCTGCACTCCACATCCCACAAACATAACTCCACACCCTCTGCTGTGGAGATTTTGGGGACAAAACCCAAGCAACTTAACAAGCTGAGCAACAAGCCAAACTGTGGGATTTTGTTTGTATATGTGCTAGAACCCACGTATCAATGATGGGCAGAAAGATTSTGCTTCAGAGCAGAAGCAGACAAGTCAGTTCTACCATAGAGTTCCTGGGTACATGTCACACGTCCCCAGTGCAAGCCAAGCAAAGCACAYACCAATGCTGTTTATGTCTTTATAAAAAGCTTATAAAAGCTTTTACAGATATTCTGTCTCTCTATACAATGTGTTGCAGTAATTTCTGTACTCCACAGAAGAGCAGACCTGGGCAGAGCTCAAAGTAAGTTGCCACTGCTGAAAAGGCTCAGATCTCCTGCTTCAGGGTAACCCTTGCAGCGTGTTAGATCRCACTGTCATAAACAACAAGCTTGTCCAGTGATGGCTGCACAGTTTCTACGAGAAAAAGCAGATTTAAAAGCGCTCTGTGAAGCTACTGCCCTTAATCCAACAGCATCATTATTTTACCATCATTGATTACTGCTTGTTCTCGAGGTGGAAAGAATCAGTTTTAACACACACACACACATGCACACACATGCACGTACAATTCAGGAACATAAGGAGAGTATTTCATTAAATCAATTAGCACTACCAACAGTGTTATTCTCACCAGTCTTATATTTTCCAYATTAAAACAGACCAATCAATCTGAAAAAGCAGGTTCTATTAAATACACATCTACTTGATTATGTTGCATGTCATGCTGCTATTATCTTGAAAGAATAATTTTGTTCCTTTTTCCCCCTTATCCTGAAGCAGGAAGAATAAGTTATAATTGCAATAGCTGAATTACCTCAGACGCCTTCCGTTTCATTTCCTTGCATAATGCATCACATTCCAGTGAAACCTGGCCTTCTCGTACCTTGCTGCACTGCAACTCCTGTTAAGCAGAGATAAAAAGTCTTTCAAAATCCATTACTCTACACRTAAAGTTTATATTATACAGTCTATGTCATTATGAAAATTCTTGGTTGCTAAAACACTGGTTAGTCAGAAGATAGATCCAAGCTATTATTAAACATTAGTCAACTTTGTATCAACTTTTGCCCTTTTCTATTTTCCTTCTTTCTGATCAGCCACAATGAAAGCAAGAATGAACAAAATAGTCAAGTATAATCCCGTCCTCTCCTATTTTCTCACTTGTTTACCTAAGACTAAGTAATACAATTTTGTGGATTCTAGCATAAAGATCTGGCACATCCAGTCTCAGCAATTTCACACACGTTATTTTCAACGGCCTACAGATCAACCGTGCTGTCTGAGACTATGAGGCAGTATCACCTCATGAAAAAAAATCTCTGCTCCTGTCCTTGCAATATTTTAAAGCCAGAAAAGTACACCTAGTATTCTGTTGGGTAGGTAGAGCAACACAACATGAAACTACGTTGGCTTTTATATTGTCAGTGATACGCAGGAGAATCACGAGCTGTGATTTTTCATAASGCATACTAAAAGAAATTCACAAAATTTGCATGAAAAACCAGCCTACAGTTAAGATTTTTCTAAACATGAATTTTAAATATAGGTTCACTTGAATAATACATCTTTGCTATGTCTAGCTTTCCTACAAATCAAGTATGTTAAAAACAACTCCTGACCAATGAAGAGATGGCTAAAAATGCAGTCTAGTCTACCAGAAATTCCCAGATTTATAAATTCTAGTATTTTATCTGTCTGCACATTTTATATGCATAATGTCATGATGTAACACTATGACATTTAATTTAGAAAAAATATGTACTTTTAAAAAAAGCTACAAAGGGAAAAGATTCTTCCTGTTCAGTATTCAAAGCCATTCAATCACGTATTTTATATTCACTGTGCTGGTCCAGTGACTCCTCCTATAACAATAAATTGCTTAAGAAAGACTGATAGAGGACTCCAGAATTTATAGAATCAATTGCTTGACTCTAATCTAGAGCACAGAGGACAGAAAAGCGAGTCAAAGTGGAACAGTGAGATAGCTAAAACTGGCCCAGTCAAAGCAACCCACGCAAGTTCTCCCTACCAGAGCAGGTGACAGGCCTGTCTTTGTAACAAAGGGAGCTACCAAACAAATCCAGGTGGAAGCAGGAGCAAGAAGACACACTAGTAAGACTCTCCTGGTAAACTGGAATTTCTTCAGCATCAGCATGGGCTTTATTTACAGCACAGCATGGAGTGGGTGTCCCATAAACTACAAGCTTTATTGGCACCATACATAAACAAAGCCTAGGAGTGTTTGCAGAGAATTCAATAATACTTACTAGCTACTAAAATCTGTTCCCTGTTTGCACAATCACAGACTTGAGAAGCAAAACACACAAGCACCCCCGTTCTTACATTTGACCCACATCTGGCAGGCTTAGAGATGCTGGAGACAGTGCACCTCTGAGCAGATGCAGATGGGGGACCTCTGCAGAGAGCAGCTACCCACCAGGACCACTAGCAAGGGCAGCATCATATAAGGAAATCACTGCAAAATTGTTTTCACATTGTAAAACTAAGACAGTTTCACAAGGTCCAAACAAGGTCTAATTTATCCACAATCCATCCTTCTGCCATTATTTACCCTCTACAAATTTAGTTTTCTGTATGAGAAAGAAGAGGAATTGAGAAAGAGAAGGAATTTGTTTGACTTCCAGAAAATAGGCCAGTATTTCAGGGACAATTCTTCCTCCTCCATCCAAAAAAAAACCCRAAAATCCCAAACTCTTATTGTTCTAGAAGTCAAATGGATCATTTTTTGATTATTTAAAAAGTGGGCTTCCTTCACGTAAAAATTAAAGAACACTCACGGCAATCTCTCTTATCTCTCTTTGTCTTATTCCTCATGATCAAATTTTCTAATTTTCTCACTTTTTTTTGTGTGTGTGTGTGAGAACAAACTTCAGATTTAAAGGAAGCAGATCTTTCAGAGCGGCAGGCTCCTGAAGATTCCAATTGGTCAAAAAAATACCCTAAAAAGTGTATTTCATTCTTTCTTGGCAGCACATCTGAATGGGAGAACCATGGAAGTGATAAATACATCCCTTCATTTGGGATAACAAAATCTGAACCAGTCTAAACATCAGTAGCTGCACAGTAAGATACAATTCAGCACTAGAATATGGAAGAGTAGGTGATATGACATGTTTTCTATATTTTTCGAAAGGTGATGAAAGTTAAGAGAGATTAACAGCTATAAGCTTACTAATAGCTACTCCTTCCATCTGCAATTATGCTTGGCCTAAAACTTAGGAAAGCAGTTTTCAAAGCAGGAAAACAAAAGTCCAACTGCACATTTAACCAATTGTTTTCTGGATTTTACAACAGCAAAAGAAATACTGGATCCAATGGGAACATTTAGGCACATAATAAAATAAAATGCTGATGTCTGTAGTTGCTTTTAGATTTCCAGGAAACTGATTACATTAATTACCTAAGTTGGAACACTTTCCAACTTACCAGAAAAAAAAAAAAATTCTTCTTAAATCACTCCAGATCACCCAACTAATCTTTCAATAGAGCTAGAAGGATTCAAGTGTGCTTGCAGRTGTTAGCTGCCTTACAATAGCTCTATATCTTAGAAGTAATAGGATTTTTTGTTCTCCAGCAAGTCTTTTCATATTGCAGCCCAGATCTAATGTGAATCACTACAGTTCTATTGAACTAACTGGACCTATTCCAGTCCACACAATAGGAAATCCAGTCACCCAAGCCTAAAAGCAAACACACACACAGACAAAACACAAAGATGTGTCTCTCATAACTTACCTTTTTCAGTCTTTTACAGGGACAGCGGAGTTTAACCTTCTGGTTGCAGTTCAGAGGACAGCCACCCGAATGGCAAATCTCTTTACATCGGTGACCGCATGGCAACTACAAACAAGAAGAAAGCGAGAATCTATGAACTGGCTTTATTAAAGACATACTTAAACAAAAAAAATCCATATGACTTATCAATTTTCCACTTATGAAAGTGATTTTGTTTTTTTGCAAACATTTGACTGTTGTTTGAAGTATTTCCTTTTCTGTAGAACCATTTCCCCTTAAAGATTTTATTCACACAACTTGATTAAAACCAATTTTGTTTTCAAAATGTTTTCTATAATAGAAGTCGTCATTACCTGGGAGGGCAACGGAGGGGGACACACAAGCATATAGGTAGGAAGAAGCTGGAAACAGAAATCAACTGRTGATCTGTACTACAGCTACTTACAGACCAGAGAGTCACCACAAGGCAGGGGAAAGAATCAGAAGTAGCAGCAGTGCAAAAACACCACTCCACRAAGTCTTACACACAAGAAAGTTCTGAACTATGCAAAAGTAGTAGCAAGTACAGGGTGCCAGTGTTCTTACGTCCCAATTAATTTCACAAAATCTTGATTTTCTGCATTTTGTAAGTTATCCTATTTCTAGTACTTGAGAAAGACTACCTCTTTACAGACACTAATTTATCTAAATAATGATTAATTGATCTAAATAATGGTGACTCTTAGAAATATCAGACTCCCAGCACTGTAGTAGATGCAAAATGGCAGAGGAGCAAATCACTTCACTTTCTGTCAGGAACTTGACTTTGTATCAGTGTTCTTAGTAAAAAGCTAAGCTTCAGCAGTTAWGTGTCATCAAGGAATTAGTATAACTTGGAAAAACCTATAGGAGAWAATCAAGATGTGTATTTTTCATAGAAGTATACATGCTGTATTGCTTTATTCACAAAAATGGGAATATAACATAACAATTATAAATCTCAAGTACACRTATTTCTTGTGGATCAGCAAATTTTGATTTTTAGGAGTACAAATGAGCTAGCTTTACTTAAAAACTTAGTCATGGAACACATCCCTAAAACAGAATGCAAAGCTCCATCTAAAAAATATAGAGCAATTAAACATGCCTTCATGCCAAGTCAAATTCTATTATCATACTAATGCATCCTCTAGTGATCCATTCCGTGATTTGGGATTCAGTACCTTTTAATTGCTGTCACTGCAGTGAAACTGGAAGGAAACTAAGTCCTCAAGTTCAGATGCTCCTGCTACCAGCAGCTAACCTGCCATATGAGCCCTACGTGACTGGAACAGCCTTGCACTGAAAATACTTTTTCCTCTTTGGCTGCCAGACCTTGCAGGCTCTTCCAAACTTCATGTCTCCAAGAGGCAAGACCTTTTCTCTAATTCCCTAAATCTATTCTGGACAGTCTAAATCCATTTGTTCTGATCCTCATATTGAAATATTTCTTGACTGTCCTTTCATAATTGGCTCTTTATTCTCACAGTACTCCCTTCATTGAATTTCAACCAGCTTAAATCAATATTTCTTGTACACAGTAGCATATAATATCCCAAATGACATCTCAGCGGGACTTTGTACAATGCCTTAATTTTACCTTCTTCTTAATAGAATATCTTGCCCAATACATCTTCAGCTCTCATTTACATTTCTCTCCAGCTAAACACACCGTGACAATAAGAATTTTTGCTGTCTCACACTTGCATTAGTCTTTACATAAATGGCCTTACCATTTTTTTCTGTATCTAATACCATTCCCTAAAGGTTATCTGCTTCTGTACATAAATTTCCTCAGTTGCCTTTTACTGACAATGCTCTACAAGTTCTCATCAGAAAATGCCACGAGCACTCCTAATTTTGGGTGCCAAAGTCATTGCTGAAAACACTGTAAGATCAGTCCTCAATACAATCCTTGGGAAATTTCCTTAGTGCTAAAGCCTCTTTCATCGAACTGTTCTTTTAAATATAGGTATATAAAGATATGTGTGTATAAAAAACACAAAAGATTGTTGCCTTAATCATCTTTACGTGGACTAGCTAATTGTTGTGTGACAGTGTCTCAACTGAAGCCTGATGTAGAAGATCTGCTTTTTAACTGGGACGAGGAGAAAGAAATTAGGCACCTTGCTRAAGACTCCAGGTTAGCCTGGCACAACTACTGGGGTAAATTTAGCTTGCATTTTATCTTATTTTAAGGAGATGAGGAAGAAACTTCTTTGAGCCTTGAATTCAGTGAAGAACATGGACTGAAGCCAACCTGATTCACTAATAACAAGTTCTATTCACAGGTGCTGAGGCTGTTCACTAGGGACCAGTGACTCCCTCCTCCTGCTCCCTACTCAAGGGCATCACGCACAACTGTAGCAATGTCCTAGTCTCATGTTAGAACAGATTCATTGCAACACGATCACATTTCATATCTACACCGTACGCACTCTTAAAGTATTTCTATTTTATCCAAATTTACTAATTACACAGAAGAATGCAAGCGATAAAGAGATCCACAGGCACTGACGTGAAGATACAAATGGACATAGAGCATATGGAAATTTCTATTTAAAATTTGTCCCAAAGTATCTGCAAACATAACAACAATTTAATCACTACTGATTAAATTGAAGTTAAATTTCCTTCAACAGGATATTTTGTTATTGCTACCTAACAAGAGAAATAACTTTTAATTAAAGTGTCCCAGCTAACAGCTGTGGCAGTATCAAAGACTTGCTGCTCCTCAAAGCAGAAAGGAAATGCAAGCTGCACTATGTAATACTAGAAGTCCTTTTCTTACTTTTATACTAAAAGAGCCAAAACCAAAGCATGAAAGTTGGCAAGACTCCGTTATTTTCTTTAATAACAAGATTTCTTTCTTCTTCTTTTTTTAAAGTTATTTCTTTAAGGCACCAGACAACAGAACTAAGTAGTTTTCATTATCTCCAGAAGTAGCACTCTACTTGTAATTCAAATACGGTATTTTACTGTCTACTATAATTTCCATTAAAAAAAAAGGAAAAGAGACAGACATCTCAAATGTAGGATCTCAGTAAACGTCATATTCTCTAGCATCTAAATGACATTATTCTAAATGTTGTGAYAGTTACAGTCCACACTGATTTATAGCAAGCCACAATTTCACCGAGCTCTTCTGGTAACCCAAGGCCAGTTTAATGTATCAATAAGTCCTTTAACAGACGCTGTTTGGATAATAGGTATCAYGATACAGCTAGATGATTTTCCCAAAGTTATAGACCAACATGAAATAATTTTAAAATTGACAGAGCATTCCYAGTATTATACAATATTCACAGAGAAGTTAATATTTTTTTAAAAAGAAAAAAAAGAGCATATTGTACTTCTAAWGTTATCAAAATAGGATTAGCTAAATGTACAATAAACTGTAAATTAAAAAAAAAGAAACCAAACTCCCTGAAGCAGGTCAACATCAATACCTCTAGGTTTCAGGACACTGGGAGRGGTGGGGAAGCATTTTTACACAATCACATGCAACAAAAGACTTTCCGACAGCAGGAGCATTGGAAATCTTATTTTTCAAGGCCTCTATAGGAAGAAGAATTTTAGGATAAAATGAAAATCTTTATCTAACTGAATGTTGCTTAAAGCCCTGAGGAGCCCTCCACATCCCGCTGCCTGAGGAGGGGTGGAGGGAACCACACGCACACAACACACCTGGAAAAGGGCAATTCTGAGCTGCAAAGCAGAGCTCTGCTACTAGAAGGATGCTGAGTCACAGAGCGAGTCTCGGGAACACAAAATCACAAGAGATGCCTTGATCAAGGTCAAACATGAGACACAGAGAGCTTAGAAGGGACACTGAAGTATAGGAACACACAGTTCACGCTAGGATATTATAAGTGCTCTTAAGCATAAAGAAGTAGTCTTGGAGCAAATGAAAACAAAGTAACGGAGAGAGAAATTAAAGGATAAAATTAAGGAGTAAATGGGCAGCAAAAAATGTCCAAAAGCATTCCCCCAACGAGAGGAAAACTTATAAATATTCAAGTGAGAAATTTACTACAGGCTCATTCATTTACCTGTGCACCACAAAGAAGGATAATGAACAGAAAGACATCAAAAGTCTACAAGGGCAAAAAAAAGCAGAAGATAAAAGAGGTGCACAGTACAGAGAAGACTTCGAGGGAGTAAATTTATCTTGTCTCAAAAAAGAAAATTAAAAAAAAAACAGCAAAGTGTTGGAAAATAAGCAGGAATGCTACAAATTTCTGCATTTGTACTTATTCAAAAACTAAAACAGTTTTTTAAACTCTAATCAGTACAAGGATTCAAATTTGATAGTTCTTACAGTGGAAAATTAGGGAATAGGAGAATTTTGAATCCAGAGTTATTAGAGATAAGGGGAGAATTTGAGGTGATAAGACATTAGGTAAGGAGACAAAAGTCTCCATCCAGCAGACGGAGTATAAAGGTAAACTCACATAAAGGAACCAAGCAGAATCAATGATGAATGTGTTGCATTAAATTATTTATTGACATTGCATGTGATAAAGACTTAGCTAGGCAATAGAAGGCAAACAATAATGAGAAGTGATTATGGGATAAAATATTTCTCTTAGTATAAGCATTTCTTTATTTTATGGCAAGAGGCTTTGGCAAAAATTCAAGCTCAGTGCTGGAAACACTTTTCAGAATATTCCTGACAATATTCTGGTTCTTCCATTTTGCAAACTCACAAAGTCCCAAATCTTTTCTCTCCCGACACCCACCTCAGACTTGCTACACAGATCATGATCACTACCCCTGCACTTCGCCAAAAATAGTACACATACTGAAAATTTCAGTTGTGGCCGATTACTTAAAAGATATCCTATTATTTTGGAAATATATATTCAGGATTTTTTTTTTTTTAAATCACCTTATAGGGYATATACTCCCACTTCAGCTTTATCCCCAATTTAATCTTTCAGGACATTCACTAGTACTGCCACGGAACAGACCCCTGACCCCTCAATGTACTCTGCTGAGCTGACAAATGACGCTGCTCCAAGCACAATTTACTATCAACTTTTGCATTTACCATTTAGCACGATATTCTAGACTAAACTTCCTCGGTCTGCCTTTGTGGACGGCTTGTGAACTGTCCGGAGCCTTGCTAAAGTCCAAATACACAGACACCTATTTCTCTTTCACCCACAGGCAGCAGACATCCCTCCAACTGAGCACTTCTTTGCTAGCAAGGCTTACCTCTTTCGGACACTGATTTTTGCAGGAAGTAAGAACATCCTTTTCTTTTGCGTCAGCACAGGTTAGCTTTCTATAAAAGAAAATATGTATTTCTGATAAATACCAAATTGAAAACAACACAAATCAAGTTAGGATGCATTTTAGGTATTTATGCCTGTAAAAGAAAGTATGATCCACATAGCGTGGAACTAACAATGCCAGGTCTCTATCAAACAAGAGCACAAAAATTAAGAGGATCTGAAATACTTTAAGGAGAACATAAAGAARGGAATGTAGAAGTTGAACGATTTTTCAGAGTAATATGTTATTTTTTGGATATTATTTAATTATTGAATTATTTAATGGATAAAAAAAACCATCTTATATGCAATAAAAGCTAGCACCTCCCTGCCCCTTCAACAATTAAAAAGGAGCACAAATGTTTATAAACATGTGTCTAAAAAAAAAAAAAAGAGGACATTTCATTTCAGAACTCCATTTTTGGTAAGTTTTGAAGCTATAAGGTAGTTATAAAGATATTTTTACCCTAACTACATTTAGTCTAATTCTTCTTATGAAATTCTTCCTTATACACTGTAAAATAATTACATATAGATTAAATTATACAGATTAGTACAGATTTACATACTTGCATATATACGTTCTAAAACAATTGCAAAATCTGTTCTGTGAAAAACAGAGTCCATATACTTTTAATAGTTTGAGTGATTATATCCAAGTGGAACACTGGCAAATTAAATAGACTATATGATAAATTATAATCTTCAAAAGAAAAGAAGGCTGTAACTTGCCAACAGGGTTACTCCCATTCCTAGGACGCTTCAAATGGTTTCCAGTCGGTTATGCTTGTCAGAACTGAACCCAACTCCTTGTTTACTTACAGGCACTCGATATAGAGCACGGACAGTTTGCAGTGACACTTGATTTTTAGCATCTGAAGGCATGCAGGGCAATCCCCAGGATGACAGGGCAGAACACATCGGTGAGGACAGCCAGGTGGCCGCGGCTTCGTGCACTCCTCTTCACACTGCAAACACTCTGGACCTGCCTAACAAAATACAAACAAATTACTAAAGAAAGTGCCAAACTGTTTCTTTGCTAGATGACATTAGCAAGCTTTTATGGAGAGGAATAGGGTAGATGTATTTTCTTCCCCCACAGGAATCCTGCTATTCATTAACTTGTCCCTCACGCAAAATAAATATTAWAATACACTTTGAGAAGAAAAGCAGAAATGTCAGGGTTTGTAGGTCAAAGAGACAGACCTCTATTTTTCCTTTTGGGCATAAAGAACCTCTTAATATCAGTGCTTTGGAAAATTGCCATTAAGCCTATTAATTCTCTAAAGAAAACACTTTTAGAAAAAAATATTCCATATTCAAGACTAACTCTTTCCATTCAACATGTTCTTGCAATACTTCAATCACRACATATTGCTTTGTAGTACTGGGGCGTGGAAGTTTCTTTGTTTCCTTGCTTTGTTGTCTTTTTTTTTTAATTATTTATTTAAAGAAAAATAAAACAAGCTTTAAGCTGTTTTACTTCCATATGTTTATGCTGGTTCCAAAAAGCATTAAGTTAGCAATATGCTGAGAGCTGCTACGCCTTCCTTCAACTTCATATATGACAAAGTCTGCAAGAGGTATAGGGTCATCCTCAGGCCAAGAACCTATGTTGCAGCAAGTTCCACTAAACTATTTCTATTCCTATTACTTTCTTGATGACTCCTTAAGAATCTCAGGCAGCAGTCAAATACGCATAGCAAATCTGATACGATTTCACAATTGGGCCTATATAGCAGAATATTTTAGGTACATCGTCACATTCCATTTTTAAAAGTGACATRTAAGTTAGCCTACATATACTGAATGCAACCAAAAATGATGCTACACRATGTTTCTCCAAGAGGACCATGCTCCTTGCCAAGTTTTTACTTTATGCTGGTCAAAATAATGGCAGAGTTTAACTACAGTTTCCCCCCACCTATTTTCTTCTGAGCCCCATAMCTTCTGCTTATGTAGCTGAACTCTTTTTGCTGATGTTTCAAAGGGAAACTTAGTGCACTGGGCATTCACAATGCTCAGCCCCCCCCAAATGCCATATCTCAGGAAGATACTAGCAACCAGAAGCATTTTGGGAACTGTCATACAGAACTTCAGCAAGCGCAGGTGATGACAAACCACCGGCCTTTCTCAGTTTTCCAGCACATGTGGAATAAAACCTGAATTCCAGACAGAAAAATCATTCTTCAGACATATAAAAAGAAATTTAATCAGCCAGTCTCAGACTACATCTGCAGCTTAGTCTCTATCACCAAAACAGAACAAAAGTTCTAAAGGTCAAAAACAACTTGAGTTTGTAAAAATCCAGAGAAAATAGAGCAGKGAAATTCACCCATACTTTGCAGGGACATAGACTCCCACTTTTGAGAAAGTTCAGTGCAGATGGAGCTAYGCAAGGCAGAACCCTGACCCACACACATCTGCATTTCTACTGCAGGTGCAAGAGCCCATCCTCCTGCAGCACTAACTGGAGAAGCTTGAAGAGTTGCCACCCAGGATTCAGTCATGCTGCTCTCTTGCTGTGTGTTACTGCACCACAAGCTGCACTAACAGCTCATACAGTCCTCAGACAAAGGCTCCCCAATCATTAATACAATGTAATACATACAGTTATTAGATGGCAATATTACTTCCAGGATTTGAATTCACAAAGAAATCATCCTGCCTAAGCTAAAATATAAGCACAGTTATATCCTGTAGCTGACTGAACGCTTTCTAAATGCCATGACAGACCAAATTGTTTCTTAATGTCATTCTTTAAAAGCTTAAAGCTGTTTTCCTCAGAAATCATTATTTTCTCAAATCACTCAATGCATGCATGTCTACTGCTCAAAACCAGGGCAGCCTTCAACTTTGTACATTATTCCATTTTTGTTTCATACTTCTATCACCTAATATTTGATCTGCAGTTTCTTAATCTCATAAATGACAGTTTCTAAAGTAAAGACATAGATAACCACGAATACGTAGCCCTAATGCTTTAGAAAGTCTTCACTAGTTCYGCAACATTTCCAATGCTTCTCCTTAAAAGTGTTCCAGCCTCCTCGACCCACTTACAGGGCTCATCAATAAGCAGCTTCTTGGGAGACTTCAGGTCCATTTGTACATAGGTGAATGTGTGCGATTGAACAGAAGATTACGCTTTTTCCTCGATGATTTATCAGTAGACCATTTTAAAAAAGGCCATAAATAAATWAACACAACAAACACATACACACAAAAAACAGGAAATGAGCTCACCTTCTTTCCGTCTCCATTACTGCTGACTTTAGTAACRCGGTGACATTCTTTCATACAAGTGTGATTCTGGCAAGCAAGAAGCCGTCCACAAAGTCTTTTACATGAGTAGGGGCCTGCAGAGTGACATGGTAATGGGCTAACCTTAAATTAAAAAAAAAAAAAAAAAAAGTGTGATTCTGGCAAGCAAGAAGCCGTCCACAAAGTCTTTTACATGAGTAGGGGCCTGCAGAGTGACATGGTAATGGGCTAACCTTAAATTAAAAAAAAAAAAAAAAAAGAAAAGAAAAAAGAAATATAACCACATACAAATTTTGATTTCTAAGGATCTTTGCTAATTTAAAGTACTAAAATCCATTCAAAGACTTCAGATTCCCATACCATTGTGAACACACTTTCATTAACTAAACAAGTTGACTTTCACAACAAAGTCCCCCTTCGCTTCTTCCAAACAAACTACTATATTATCAAAGTGCCAGTTAGCCCTTCTGTCTGAATTTCATTTGTGCCTTCCATTAAAGATTCCCAAGGTGCTTTACTGAAGCGGTTTACAGTCTGTTTTTGCATAATGTTGCTATGGTCATCATACAAACAAAATATCTTACAGTCTAAAATTAAGCAACAAAAACATGAAAATGAAAAACAATCTGCAAGCCAGAAATTCTGAAAAACAAACACTGACCATACCAAATAAGAAAAAGAGCACTGTACCAGGACTAAGATCTTAATTCCTGGTGAGACACTTGACTGTCCAGTTCGAGGTTAACRCTCCAGTTTAACAGAGCTTTAGAGCACAACTCGGTATCGACTTAGGACCTTAGAATCTTCACYAACTCCAGGCTTCACTAACTCCATACCCCACGGACAGTGGGAATACACTGTTTCTAACCACCATATAATATTGACATGAAAACCTCAGTTTCTGCAATGCTGCCAAAAGCCTGTTGTGCGGGGGAGCGTTCCTGCTTTTATAACAACAATCACTTTGCAGAGAACAACAGAAACCACTTGTACAGTTACTATACAATAGATTACTGTGATGTAACTTATTTTGGCTTGGACTTAAAGGTCTGATTCTCTGTCACAGCTTAAACYGATGGAAAAGCTTATTACTGTAGCCCTTCTACTTCTCTCCTCCAGCTTCACACTCCTACCAGCACACTCCTCTCCAAGCTCTAGCACATGTTTGCTGTAAGAGTAAGTCAATAAAGGAAGATGGTAGAAAAGGAATTGATTAAAAAGCTCCTTTTCCTTTGCTAGGTTTGCAAGCTCACTGGCCATGTGAGTAGGTAAACGCTGGAATTGAAGCAGGGAAGGGAGGAAAGAGCCTCGCATACAAGTCAGAGTGAGGAAAATTCTCCCTTTGGCGCTATGGAAATGTTGGTTTCCCTCAAAGCAAAATTATACAAAGTAGGATTGGGAATCCACTTGCCTTAGAAACATATTCTGGGCCTACCCATCAATGGAGTGCATTCTGCCTATGACTACACTATGCCATTCATTTACAAAAGCACCTAATTCCTTCTCTTGTCATTCCGGGCCACAAACCCCTGGTGAACAGGAGTCATCTGCACAGCAGACTGGACAACAAGCATAGAGAAAACACAGAGAACATTATTGTGCCCAACTACTCTCACGTATTTATGCCAAAACTGAAACTTGTTATGCTGGTGAAGCCAACATACAGCTAAGGCAGGCAGCCTGAGTACCTGGTACCCGCTCCCATCTGCGAACATCCCGCAGCTCAGACAGGCCTAAGGTCTTTTTTTCTCTACAATGACAATCAAATCCAAATCATGGAATTGTGATTAATTTGAATCTGTGTTTAAATGCATATTTTCTGAATTTTGTTGCCTTTTCATGACAGCGTTTTTTCAGCATTGCTGCTGGTAAGAAATCAAAAGAACAGGACATGGGAAGTTTTTCTTTCTATAGTTTAGCATTTCTGCGGTGACCAAGTAGAAGTTGCTACTATTACAAAGATGGATATTTAAGAAATCCACGCACATTCCTGTAGGAGATGAAAGAAAGCAGATGAGAAGCAGAAGTAATTTATAAAAGCTGAATGGAAAAAGAAAAAGAGAAGACACCATTCTGAGGCCACAGGCATTCCACAGGGTAACTTCAAGCGAGGAAAAAAGGATCAGGCACTTTCAGAGCAAGTGGACATACTTAGTTATTAGTAAATATGTTTATCTGCTGGATAACAGAKAAATCAGTTCAAAGAGAAAACAATCAACTACTGTATGGCAATGAAAATTTTAAAATATTCATAAGCTATATAGTCAGAGATTAATATGATCAAGTTAATAACGCTCTTTATTCTAAAAATATGAAGCCACAGCTAAAAAAGGTCACAMGCAAGGACTTTACCAGATATTCAAAACACTCACTGCAAAAACGGGAGCTAAATAACAAAACTATCTCCCTTTCAATAACACTTAACAAACTAAAAATGTATACACAAATAAAAACCTGAAATTAAAAATAAAATTACAAGATTGAAATAAAAATATCCTATCCTAAAATTTATATGCTAAATCAGTAAAAAGTTACTGACCTTTTAGATATATGTAGATATATTAAATACATTTGAAATATTTATATAGTAAAAAAATTATGTAGTAAATTTGAGAGGGTTGCACACCACAGCTAACAAAAATCTCATTTTAAGTTAAATATCATATAGAATCTCATATCCATTGAATTCAGATTTGGTATAATTATCTGAAAAGAAAAATAGTTTGTTGTCTCGGTTTTTTCTGTGGCCTTTTCAGAGATCTGGGAACAGGAAAACGTGTGTAACGCACCCTCTCCCATACATACCAAACTATTCCGCCCCCTCTATTCCTATCAGGAACTCCAAGCTTAGGACACTTAATTCCACTCTGGAGCCTGCTGAACATGAGCAGGAAGAGCATGCTGCACTTCCCTGGCTCGCCGAAGGAAAGTTTAATCCGSAATATCAAAGAGCACAAGGAAATGCAAGTCATTAACATCGGATTCACTGGGATTATTTCTTGGTTTCTGAACAAGCTTATAAAGAAAACATGACCCAAACCCACTGGCTGAAGTTGCTAAGACTGTTATGCAACCAAGAGGGTTTTTAATTATTCTATGGTAAGCAATTATAAATATGGGATAATTAGAACTATTTTTCTCTAACAAGCAGATCTCCACTGTATCAYAGGGAAGAGACAAACGTCACACTGCACACCATCAAAACCTGTTACACTGCCTAAAGAAAGCTACACTAGATCAATTCAAGCTATTAGCTTTTTTACATATAAATTAAAGATAAATCTTACCATATCTCACCCTATCGCAACAGATGTCATTGGTTCAAAATAAAAGATTTGTTCAGGAACCTACAAATTTCATTGGGGAGAGCAAACTCAGAATTTAACTCTTCCAACAGCAGCACCAAATGCAGCCACGTGCTTCACCACTTTTCACAGCACATTTTTCTTCAGCAATTGGCATGATGCAAACTAGCTCTATCGAAGCCATGTTCATGGATCAATAAAAATGCACTGCAAGAATATACCAGCATGAAAGACTGCTGATAAACTTTGCTATATACCTGCAATACCAAAATACATGCTCACTTTTATCAAAAAAAACCCCACAAATTAAAAGATTTAAAAGGTACCAACTGTAAAAAATCTAATCCCATTTTAAGATTTTGAAAAATTCTAGAAAGCAATAAACATTTTTTGAAACAGCTTTTTAGCCTTTGGATATTAATTATATTTTCTTCTAAAGCAAGCCAAAATACGTAATTGTTTTCTTATAAGTTGGAGAATACTGAATAACAAAAGCAAAGGTAACAAGTAGAACTGGAGAAGAGTTTCCTAGACCATACTGTCCAGTTTTATCCACAAAGTTCCAAATCGCTAGGAATTTTTCTGTATAGCACTGCTCCTATCTCTTATTTTAAACGGAAATAAGTAGACATAATGAGTAAGAAAACAAGTGAATAAATTGTATATGGAAGGCAGAATAGGCACAAAGTAAGAAAAAAACAGATAGGGTAAGTAATGAAAAAAGCATCAACTTAAACACCAGTTCACAAGCTATGCAAAGCTACACAAACAGTTTCATAAATCATGAGTTTAAAGTTTTGACCAAGAAGTCTAAAAGGTCAAGTATTTATGTAGTCTTCGATAAGGTACTAAAATATGCTTCCATACTTAAGCCCTTGTGATAATGTACTTTGTTGGTTTTAAAATGCAGAAAAGCCACAGAATATTTTGCTAATATCTTTTTACAGGGTGACATTAAAGATACGTCATATTCTATTTCAAAGGCAATTTCTATGACTCACCTCATGCTGTCCAAGACACTCCCTGGTAAAAAAAAAAAAAAAAGATTTAGAAAAACACTTATCTCTGTAAGAAAGGCAGTGAAAGCAGTGACAGTGCCTAACAAGATATCTATGCAATCCGTATTAAGAAGGTTGAGGTGAGGCTAGCCCAGGCATCACATGCAGCTGAAAAGACAGGTCCATATCTAGTCTGCTTTTGTAGCACAACAGTCCCTGAGTTAAGAGGAAAGTATCTATCTATGCAGGCCAACGCTCTCTCTCTTTCAATAGCTGTTTGGATTACATGATTTAAAGGCAGTAATYCCAGAATCAAAGTTTCATGTGCAGATTAACTAAGAGGATATACATGAACAAAATTTTTAAAATTACTTGAATTGCTTCTAAATACATTCTCCTTTGGCTCTACTAACACAATCACTTCATGCTTTACATTTATTTCAGAGAATTGTGTAATTAGTCTACTCTTATGTTTACAATTTCATCTCTTTTAGAATGGTCTGACATCTCTAGAGAAGAAAAACTGCACACTGATCAGAATAGTGAAGGCAYTGCACAGTCACTCATTCAAATATTTGTCTCCATAACAAATAAATCAATCTTTTCTTCAATTTATTCTGACGCACACCTTATTCCTTCYACCTTTAGGATCATATATCATCTTCCCAAACTTTTGATATTTCTTCTTAAATCGTATAGGGGAGAATACTAATAACATCATTAATAATCAAGCTAAAATATCTGTAAATCATCCTCTAAAGACCACAGACTCTATTAAAAAGGGGAAAAAAAGGGAAAAAAAAGACAAAAAAAGACACTGGCTTCCTTGAGAGCTTCTCTAACATGAAGTAGTTACCACTAGTTACACAGTCTGCAAGACAACAGGTAGGAGCAACCACTACCACAGTGGTCTTTCACCTGTTAACGAAAGGTAAATGCAGCACACACGCCTATTCTGGGCTCTACGCAATTCAATGATCAGGAAACCATCTAGAGTACAAAATAATAAGTGGTCAACTTGGCTTCTAAAAGCTCTGCATGCCATGGTAATGCAATGCTGTTCTACTAGAAAGGAAAATGCTATTTAATACCCCCATAACACCATATTATATAACTACTACTACACTAAGTTCCTACTGAGGTTGAACATCTGCCCAGACCAGTAGGAATCTGCTACTATTTAAGCTACACTTAACACAAAAAAACTCTGRGCATTTACAAAATCTGCTATTAACATATTAATTGAAATATTATTGAAAAGGTGATTAACTAGTGTGGATTTGCCATGTGCCTAAACAACCCAATTGCTTGTGATGTAGTTAGTAACTCAGTGGATGAGAGCAAAAAGCACAGCACATCATCCAGCTTCCCAGAAACACAGCTTTCAGCATGGTCCTCCACAGCACCCAAGACACCTCCAGGGGTGAGTTACTAGATGGGTGAAAACCTGACAGAGCTCTGGGCTCAAAGAGAGGTGGAAAACTGCAACCTACGTGAGCGACATGGAGGGGGATGCCAGTGCACAGCAGGCCAAACACCAGCCGCGCTCCCTGGAAGCAGTGCTCTAGCAGCGTGCTGGTGTGCACCAAGAGCAGCCTGCCAGAAAGGAAAGGGAACCCATTACTTCCCTTTATGCAGCACTCACTGTGCCCCATCTGAAACACCATATCCAGTACAATAAGTGATACAATTAAGGATAGCCTCAGGCAGGTCCATTGGTGGCCGCCAAGACGGTCAGAGGGTTAGGGCAGGCATCGGTGAGGCTGGGCTGACAGGAGGCTGGTTCAGCCCACAGAGCAGAAGGCATCAGGGGACTTAACAGTCACCTTCAGGACCCCAGGGGAAGTTACCAGGCAGATGGACCAAGCTCTTTACTGATGGGCACAGCAGGGAAACAAGAGACAACAACCACGCTCTGGACCAGGGAAGAATCTGGCTGGATGCAAAGAAAAGAAAAGTAAAACCTATAAGGATAATCAAGCATTGGAAGAGGTTGTCCAGAGCAGCTGTGAAATGTCCACCCTTGGGGGGTTTACAGACCCAGCTGGACAGCTGCTCTGATTAGAGGACATCAGGCCAAAAATCACTCCTCATCCTCCAAAGATACCTTCCAAGGTGAATGATCCTATTAAATTAATGAAGCAATAATTTTCCAGAAATTCTCTTTTAACTCTTCATGGAAACAGATGCAAATACCTTTCATTACAAACCATCTCACCTCTCATGGCCAAATACACTAGGGGCTGGAGGAAACTGTCCCACAACAGTTCCTGAAGGCCAATTTCAAAAAAGCACCACAAAACCTCAAGGGTTTGGTTTGCATCTATTTCCTGCTCTGATCACCATCCATACAAGATCATCTCTCACTACTGTTCGTTATAATATTAGCTCAAAAGGTAACAGGCTAGTAACAAATCTAGAAGTGCTTAAAATGATCACAGAAAGTTTGTTCTGCAGCAATACTTCACTGTCTACCTACACCTCTGTGGGGTTTTGTTGTTTTCTGTCGTTGTTGGTTTGTTTGTTTTTTAAACCTCAGGAAGCTTCTCTCATCTCTCTCATGTATTTCATTTTCTCATATTCATGAGAAAAAGATTATTTCAATAATAAACAAAAAAAGCTGTCATAATAAATTTTAAAAGTTTGGACATGCTAGAATTCATGTAATTTTATAATGCTAATCTTAAATTGCCTCGAACCCTATAAAAATGTAAAGATGCTACCTCTAATTGAAAAATTAATTACACCTTTTCTGGTTTGGCATCTCTCTCACTTTGCAGACTGACTTTCTTTGAAAGGAGTCTATACATTGCAGGAGGTGATTCCAAGGCAGGAATTTTAGAGAAACCAGGAGACCCGTGCTACATAATGCACAGCRTTAGGACAGCTTCTGCTGGATGCCTAGATGAGAGAGCTCCTACAGACACTGAGGCCAGTCTGTTCGTAGGCACCCGCTATCTCTGCATGCTATTTTTTGGGAGAGTCTGACTKTAGACTTGGAGCTCAAACAGCAACAGTACTGAGCACCTGTAGTTTAGTATATACAATATACTACAAAGTCCAAACACTATATACATACAAACCTTTAGAAATTGAGTTCTAAACACATCTAAACAGGTAGTTTTGAATGTTTTTAATCCTCTCTCTGCCTCTATTTCTCATTTTATAAAATGAGGATATAATACTCCTGCATTAAAGAAGGATGTTTAAAACTAGAAAGGCACTAAAGCCTGTGAAGCATGCAGAAAGGATTAAATTTGGAATCCTAATTCCACATTTTAACATTACCAATACGGTTTGGTATTTAACACTACCAAACTGAAAAAAAAGGGGTGGGGGGCAGGGGAGTGGAAAGAGGGAAAGAAAACTCATTTTTTCTCCCTCTGTCCTCAGCATGGCAATATTAACAGCTCATGGAATTCTACTCAAGGAGCAGAACCTTCTGGACAAGTCTACAAAAAGAGGCAGCAGGCACTCAGGATGAGGGATATCCATTAATAAATTAGATAACAACAAACAAGTTACTGCATTGATGAATTAGACACAAGGYCAACATGCTGAAAAATTGAGAGAAAAAAGATAGCAATTCCTTCAGCAACAACTACAGTCCCATAAACTAACCAAGGCAGAAACTATATGGGAAAAAAATATATATAATCATGTCASTGAAGGCAATCAAAGGACAGTGTCTGCCTTTGCAGTCTTGATGTGTTCGAGGTAAACACCTATGCAAAATATGACTTAGAAATAATTGCTCTATAGCTRTGCTACCTGTCCTTTTAAATAATGACTACACATTAACAAAATATCTATTAGAAGACTGTTTATATATGCTCACTGTATATAAAGAAGAAAACACAGCATTTTCCATGCACATCCTTATAATGATGGAGAATCTTTTTCTTTTTTTTTTTTTTCCTCTTTTCTCGTTATACTTACACTGATACAGGAACCTCACAGGGAGGGCACGGCAAGGCTGTTTGAATAAAGGCTGGCTCAGATGGCTGTTCCCAAGGGCCTGCAGGCTGATGCTGGGAACAAAGTACAACAGCACTTGAGGAAAACACACAGCTGGAATCAAATCACTCAACTACAAATACCCATTATCATCTAGAAAGATCTCAATTTTAGAAATCTATTTTCCAGAGAATAGCTGCTTCTACTAATTGCAATATCAAAGAACTCCAGAATTAGCATTTCTGATACGGCAAAAAATAGGAAAATGAAGGCCTATGGCTACATGGTTTAAATGAAGAAAAAAAGTTAAAAAAAAATTACTAAACAAATGAAGTTACCTTAATTCAATGCACACGTGCTGCATGTTTAAACACTCTCTAATGTTTAAACATTCCCTAATCTCTTAAACATTCTAATTAGATATTCTCTAATCTTTACTTTTGCTATGTTCAAAAACAACTTGACATTAAAAATTAAAGAACTCTAGCCAACACATCATCTCTTAAGTAATTTAAACCGCTCAAAGCTTTGCACAATACATTGTACAATATGGATTAGRCTGCAACATAACCAGAATCATTTCATTTTTTCAGCTAAGTAGTAACATACACATACGTATGCTCAATTATTTCATTACTATGGAATCAAGAAACCTCCAATACAGCACTAAGTAATTGTTTCTTACTCTACAGAACACAAACAAACCATATCTCACTTTATCCTTACCAAGCCAGTTTGCTTCACAAGTGCTTCGTCATGGCAAGAAACAGGACACAAATGACCACATGCCAAGGTCTTCTGGCAGGACTGACGACAYGGAGGACACCGACCAAAGTGACAGTAGTGTTTCTCCTGGGTAGGRTGGTGACAGGTAGGGGGTCGACTGAAGGAAAAAATACAAGAATGAATCTATGTATTTCACCAGCCTGGAATATAAGTTGCAATCATTGGACAGCTGTGCTTAGAACACAAGGAACTGAAGTTATTTTTAAAATAACTTTTAAAAAGCAGTGGTTAAAATTACTATTAATATATGTACTAGTTCTAAATGAAATGGAAGTCAAAGCTGGACTTGCCTAGTCAATCTACTCATCCAGATTTCTAACTGCATCTTCATAATCAAGAAAGGAGAAAATCAGGAAATACCTATACCATATTAGATAAGTCATTTTTGTCTTTTGAATAGCTATTTTGTACTACTTTCCTTAATGACACCTGAACTCCACAAAAGAACTAGCAATCTACCCTTTCTCTATACTGACCTGCAGAGCTGCTTGCATTTGGGAGGCTTCGTGGTGCGCTCTCTGCCACAGGGCACTTTAATGACAGTTTTTCCACAGTTACATTTCACATCCACAGTCTCTGGACAYGGATAACAACTACCTGAAATAAATATATTAACGAAATTATCACCTGAATAAGCTGACTGTAAAAACTGTAACCAACATAACTTAGTACACAAAGCATATTAATTATTTTTAATATTTTTAATTTTAATTATTTTGTCTTAATAACAAACTTACTAATTTTTGGTAGCTTCTCCATTCCAAAATAGTAGTAATAATAATTGTGATTGTGTAACAGTTGTGCAATTGGTATTCAAATTAGAAACTGTATCACCGAAGATACAGTTTAAAAGATAAGCCAGCATCGTCAGAACCCCTCTTTTGGATCACACATTTCAAAGCTGTGCTTGAATCTTGAACACGTATGAAGACATGCTATATTTCACTGACTTTAAAAGAAAAAGGCATTTTAGAAAACTGGTAAGATGCTCTTTTGCAGATCTGCACATTAGGAATTGGGTGGTAGTAGGAAAATACTTATGCATAATTAATACCATGTCTTTTTTCAAATAGATTTTCCTCATTTCTGAAGCTATTCATGCTAGCAACATGATATGGTAAAAAATATATTAAGAACAGTAAAATACCTATATTTTAATTTATAAGTTTCTCAGACTATTTCGTCTTAGTCATCTGCTTTTTTGGGGGGGGAGTAATGATCCATAAATATATCCATTCTTTAAAAAAAAAAATATAAACTTGGGATTTTCATTTACTAATCACGTAGCATTCTGAATCTTCAAAGGAAAGCTACACCTTCTGAATTCTTAACAGGATCCAAAAGGCAACACTCCAACAATCAGATCTCTCAATGACAAAAAGCTGCTGAAGAAGAAAGTACGGTAGTACACAATTTCATATTGCCAAGTAAATGAAAATGTGTAATCTATTAAGCAGGAGAGATAAACAGCTATGTTTATAATGTAAACAGCCAGTCTAAACTAAAGTTATGCTGCCCAGAGTGGCAAAGATATGTACAATTTACTTAGCATTAATGAAGACAAATGTCTCCCTTCTCAGAAGGACAGAGCTCACTTAGCCTGAAGCTAGGTGAAGGGCATATTATTCTCAAATAAGTAGCTATAATATACTACAGTAGGAAGTACAAAGTATTTCTGTCTCCTGGCAACACAATCTAAACTTAAATACTTAAGATAAAAGGTAAGTAAATTCACATCAAAACCAGATTAGATTAGGTCATCTTTTCTTGGGGACCGAGTGCTTAGTACCAGCGACCTCGAATACTTGTGAGAGCAGAAGGATCTTTCAAGGGCCTGACTTGGCAAGTTCTGGAAAGCAGACTATTTTCTTTCAAATTAGTGGCCCCCTAGGGCTTTTGCTCACTACAAAATCATCTGACCTGGTATTATATTCCGAATTATACAGGTAGCTACAAAAATAATTAGGGCAGTAGGAAAGAAGGCATCAGTATAAATACTTCAAGGCTAAAATCAGTGTCATCTTGTCTTCATGAGAAATACTTTCAAACATTGTAATAAGCAACTATTAAATTCATTCAATTACAATTTGCCAATGCAAACAAAAGTTTTCATTTCAAAAYTGATCTGGTATCACAGTTACTAGCCTTGTTAGATAAAACTTTTGGCAAAAGTTAGCATTCAAATGTTGACAGCTGTACTGTTTTGATAAAYTACATACATACATTTTTAAATGCACGTATTTTATGCTTACATTTTCAAAGTATTTTTGTTTATTATTGGTACTGCTTTATTATTTTGATATTGCCATTTGTCACTAGAAATCATTAACGTCACTTCTAGCCAGGCTATAAATACAATCACTATCAAATAAAAGTCAGTTATTAAATTTAAAAAGTTAGTCTATTATGCAGTATTAGCAACTTACAGACTCTAAAAAAATACATTACCTGAACTGCTGCTGCTGTTCAGCTGCCATTTCAATAGAGGGGTAGCTTTTGAAGGGAAAATTGCTGAGGACACCAACACCTCCTATCATTCTGGTTTAATCCCCTAGCAGGTGAATGCCAAAGCAATTGGACATGATAAAAGCTACCRAGGAATTTTGATTATTTTCAGCTTCCTTCCTTCTAAACTCTCTGGTTACTGCTGTAAACTCTTCCCATTACCTTCGCATAGTCAGTAACAAGTTTTATTTTCATTGCTACCAACCTATATTCCAGTTCCAATATTATTCAGTTTACAAGCCCTATTTTAAGGGCTTCTAAAGGCATCTAAGCTCAACCAATACAGTCATTTCTGTATATATATATATATGGAATTTTTTCTTATATATTGAACAGAATTATTTAGGGCGAAATCAAACTACAGATTTGAAATTAAGTGGTTTGATAGCAGCAAGACATTTCTAGCAGACTGCTGTCAAAAAATTATACCAATTACCTGATAATTCTCCTGGTAAATAAGCCAGGCATGTTTGTTTTTTAATATATAAGCCCTTAGGCTCTAACCAACACTTCAGGAATCCTTCCAACACCCTGTCCTCAGCAAAAAACCACATGCAACAGAGGAAGAGACTTCACCAAGCACCACACAGGGTCACACAGGCACCATAGCTGGCAGAATTAAAATATCCATCCGCACCCCAATAATGTTCTGTCACCACCAGAACTTGCTGCCTACTCTTACCTCTGTGACAACCAGAAGGACATTTGTGATTTCTGCACCCTAAAGTCCTCCCACAGACCTGATCACAAGGAGGACAGTTCCCAGAGCAGCACTATCGAGAAAAAAAAAAAAAAGTATTAATGTAATTTAGTCAAATTTCCTTAAATTCATATCAGGTGTACAAAGGAGGCCATCTGAAAGTCATTTTATAAAATACACAAAACAGCAAAAAAGCACACAAATGCACTTCCTCAGTATAAAAAGGCAGAGAGTTTCCAAAAAGYATAAAAGTATTAAGAACATTTGAATTAATCTGAAAYMATTTCAGATTAAAATAGCATATGATTCCAAATAGTATTTCCACCAGTTGGTACCATTACTCTGCAACTTCTTCCAGTCTTATACTATACTTATCCTTGGCAAAAAAAAAWTGTTGCTAAGCACTGTTCATACCTTATACATTTGCAATAAAAGTCAAATGGTTTTAGAAACAGTGATGTACTCTCTGTTCTTATGTGAAGTAATAATATGGAAAAACACACATTCTAATCAGAACACARCTCAAAACAACAGTGTGGTGGATCGCAAGCCAGAGAGCAAGCAGTTTCTTCTATTAACTTTTTATTAACTGAAATTAAAGCATCCTCCTTCCCTGTTCTATAAAAAAAAGGATGGTAATTAAGCAGAATAATATGCATTTGGGGGCATAAGTTTTCAAATTTGTGTTTTGCTGTCTTTCCACATGAAATTAAATGTAGTAAGACTAATACGCAACATCACCTGAAAATAAAGATTTTTTTTAATGCATTTCTGTGGCAGGCAGTCGCATTTTTCATAATGTCTTGATTTACAAATGGCAGGCAGCTTTTTGAAATACTTCATCACATATATTGCTTAGAGTAGTATTAACTGTGTGTCTGAATATCCTTGGATCATATTTTACCACAGAAGTCAGCCTAGAAAGTGAAAATCCTAGCATACCTCCTACTGCAATATTTAGTAGCCACTTCCTCAAAAGCACAGAAAAAGCCCAAAGAARGTCCTATTAAGACAGTCACCTTGACTCCATTCAAAGACTTTTACATTTGGTGATTCAGTAGTTTCTTCTCTCTGGAAATTAGTGCCAAGGGTTGCTCACTACAGAAGACTCACTACTATTTTACCCCATCTATTTTGAAAACTGAAGTAAAAAGCCAAAAACCCTTGCTGGTTTGTGCATGTCATCCTGCAAGAGGCAGGTCATGCCTCTTACATTGCAGAATGAGGGGTGCCTGCYTTTCCACATTTGAAGAATAACATTCAGTGCCTTCAGAGTACACGGGCAACACATTTGAACAGATCACCTCTAGCCACTTACCTTTCTCTTACACTGGTGCTTCTGGCAATCCCGAATTTTAGTGCACTTTGTCTCACACAGATATGGCTTATGACAGGGCATGCGCTTGGTGTGCTTTCCACAGCGACACTGCTTTTCCACTTCCTGGGCAGCAAGGCAGGGAAAGAAAAACGAAGTATATAAATAGAAAAAAACAGAACAACGAYAACAAACGCACACAACCTGACATGTAAGCAATGTGTGAAGACAGAAAAAAAGTGTTCTACATGTTCTACTAAGAAGAAAACTTTTTCTGATGGTAACATTACAATGTTTCAGCACAACAACTTCATGTTCAGAGCATGATTATCTTTTTCCGTGTTTTGTCTCCAAATTGTGCCCCAAACACCTCTTCATATACATCTACACTTGCATCTGACACAGTTGAAAAAGGACAAACTTTTGATTTGCTGTATCCACACTGACAGTTTAGGAGTCATGAAGCTTGTGCTAGCTGCCCAGGCCAGGCTGGCACCACATACRCACTGAGCAGCACTACAGGAGAGACTGGGGTCAGCATCCCAAGTGCAAATGCAAGACAAGGTCATACAAAAAAAGAATTCCCTTTGCACAGTAAATTGGTAATGTAGATCCATCCTTCACATACATTTCAAAATCCTAACCAATTGTGAATATGCTACAGTAAGACTCACCTGTCTGCATATTTCACAGGGACCTCGATGACAGCGCTGTGAGCATTTATGGATGCCACATTCTAGGACTTTGTCACAACTGTCACCACAGGTAGGCACATCCTCTGTGCAAGGCAGTGTAAACTCTACACAAAAGGGAAAGAAGTACAAGCAAGAGTGAGGGGAAAGGAGAAAGAGAAAAACATGCCATTAAAGCAACATGGTTCTGAATTCTCTGATCTCTGCCACTTTTGAAAAGCTTCTCTGAATTTATTTGCATAGTCAATTAAAAACCTGTTTCTAAATAAGTTTTTAAAAGAATTAAGCAAAAGAGTTAACACGAACTTTCAGTTTACTATTTGTAAGAGCTTCTGCACTGCAGAAGTGACCTAAACCACTCGCAGACAAATGCTACTTTTTTTCCTACAGACGAATGCCTTTTTTTTTTTTTTTTTTTTTTTTTTTTAAATAAGCTTTGCCACAAACAAGCATTTTCCAGTGGTGAGACAAGGAGGAGGAGGAAGCTTACTTGATTTTCCACATGGACAGGACCTTTTTCCGGAACGAGGACAGTCTCCACAGGGACCAGCATGACAAACTTGCTCACATGTATGATTACCACAAGGCAAAGTTCTCCCGCACACCTGAAAAACTCAGAAAACTGAATGCAACATAAAGCAACAAACCCATCCCCACACACAAAAAAAAAAAAAAAAAAACCCAACAATTTAGGGATAAGAATTAGGAGCAGAGGTAGAAGATGTCTACATGGAATTAAACTTTTTCCTAAGCAATGAAAACCCAACTGCAACAATTTTATTAACAAATACTATGTTTGCAGAGTCTGCAAATACAAAAGAACCCCGCCACTCCTCTCCCCGCTTTGTGAATTTTTACAGCCCATCAATCCATAGCTTAGGTCCTAAGAATAAGCCACAAATACATTTCAAAGAATGAATCAGAAAACTTTCGTTCTGTTAGTGGCCATCAGAACTAAACAAGCATGAAGTTTATCTACCAAGCTGTTGTTTCATACTTATTTTTGAAGATGGCAGTTGAAATTTCACTCAAAAGCACAAAGTAAAGAGATTATACAAGGTCAAATTCACTGTTCAAAGCTAGCAACATTTCAAAACAGCAAAAAGCTAACGACTGTCAGAAATGAATTAGGCCACAAAGTAAATCCAACAGTATTGCCTATTTATTTTTAAGTTTAAAAGTGCATATAAAATATTTTTTGCCTTTCAATCTTAAGTATATTAGAACAACCACATTTTCTAAGATGAGGAAGTAAATCGATGGAGTGCACTCGCCTGCACCTTACCTGATCACACTGCCACTGAGGACTTGCACAAAGCCTTTCTGCTGTTCGTCTTCCGCAGATGCACTGCTGCTTGCTGACTCGGGGACAAGGCTTACAGTTTCCTAAAGGTGATTGTGAAGTGACAGTGAGAAAAAAAAATTTCTTTTTTTAAACCATTAATTGGAACAGAGCAATGAGTTCTTAACAAATCAATAATAATATCGCTATATTATTGTGTAGTTTCAGGGGSCAGGGCTACCTGCGTGGCAGGGGTTCTCACAGGTGTGCTGCCCGCAGGGCAACGTGCGGCCGCACGGCAGGCGGCACGACCACTCCTTCGCGCTGCACCGTCGCGGCACTGGCGTCGCTTTCCTGCAGAAACACGTCGTCGTCACCATCTTGGGGCAAGGAGGACAAGGTCCTAAGTATGGRAAAAAAGAGCGTCTCGTTATGGGCTATTTAACAAAATGCAGTTTTCACTGATACTTTTTGCATCAGTTACTTGTATCAGGACTTGTTGTCAAAATGCAGTGAACAGATTTTAAGAAAGACTGTTCCACAATTGCATAAAYGCAGGTAATATAATCAAGAGATGCAACAGATTTACCTGGATGACAAAGCAGCAAACATTTATGCCCACAAGAAGGTTTGAATTCCCTCTCACATACTTGACCGCAGGAGTGAGGTACCAGCCATGGATCCAGTGCTGGATCTTCTACTTTTCCACAATAACAGTAATATCTAGTAGGAGTTTCAGACCGTTTGTATTCAAACCTACATTTTGGACTAAAACAGAGGAAAGAAGCAAAGGGAAAGTTGTTTTCATTTCAGTTTGCCAAGACAATTACCAAACTACTTATATTTTTTTGTTGCTGTTTTTTAAAGCTAAACAATAATAATACATTTATTATACCCAAAGGTTTTGCTGTATGTCAGGTTTTACAACAGATATTTGTTAGAATGTCTAAGGAATTGTCCTACCACTACAAACTTTCTTTCCTTTATAAGAACTCATATAAAGACATTTAGCATAGCAAGCACCTATAAGCCTTTTTGACTCCAAATACCACCAAAAGGAGCTTAGGCAGCAAAGAGTTAATCTTCTGAAACAGAATCAATAAAAACAAGATTAAAAAATATATATATTTGCACCAGTAGAGATTTCCAAGCTACATAAAATAAGATTTAATAATTAACATGAGCTTTGTGATACCAGTTCAGCATCTTAGATATTACCTTTCTTACAGATYAATGTGAATTATAATGCATGTACATTTCTTTGCAAGTCTGGAGAATATCAGATAAATTWAAAAAATAATTTACTCCTAAAAGTAGACAGACACCAAATATCTGGAGTTTATTATTGCTATGGACGCTAAGCATTTTCAGATGCAAGCCACGGATAAGTGAAAGGTGAAAAGAGGAAACCAAAGTAGCTCCCATCTGTGTGAAGAGACAGCGAGCTCCTCTTAGTGGAAGATTTAAGCACTCATTTCTGTCAAATAACTTATCAATGCAAGCATCTTAAGGACCATAAGTAATTTTTACAAAGCATTACCATGTGCTCAAATGCTAAATAAAAGCATCATTTGCCTTGAAATTCTACATATATTTAAACACTGTGTTTAAAAATCAAACTAGTCTATAGCTGAACAGGCATTGTCATCCTGTACAGAACTTGAGACGTTGCCTGTCAACAAATTTTCATCTCATTTCCTAGGCAAACCTGGATGCCTCAGATCCTGTAATGCCAGAGATTCTGAAACCATGAGGTACTTTCAACCAGGTTTGATAGGAGATAGGTGTCTCAAAGGTATCACTAGAAGTTCCTAAGCAAAAGTCGGTCTGCAAATATAAGAGAGAATGACAATACAATCTCACACAAAACTGTAAGACTAGCCATCACACAMTGCCTTATATGATATAGGCACTAGAAAGCTCTGAACTTTTCTATTTCAAAGCTGATTTTCTTCTACTGCACACAGTAGGGCCAATTTTAAAACTGACTTTCAAACACTTAAAACTAAATATTAGACGTTGGAACACAAAATAAGTAAGCTACTACTTTCACAAGTTAAAATTTGATTCAGCAGTTAATATCACTGTTAAATAAATAACGTGAAAGCTTCAAATTGAATTAAAAAAAAACAGAAAACAAAGTCTTCTAAACTTATTTTTTCCAGTTTTTTATTTACAAGTTCTATTCCTTTCTGAAGAAACTCCAGTTCCAATGCTTTCCACAACAAAAGCCTCTTAGTAAATGTACCATGAATAGCTCACCATGGCCACGGATAATCTTTCTTTCCAAAATCATCATCTGTCAAAGGAGAAGAAACAAGGAAAAGGCTGTCCTTGGCCCACTTCTGGATACAGGGCAAGTGAAATATACAAAAGCATCCACAACAGCTCCAGACCTAAAGACAAAGTCAGATATAAATACACATTGCTCTACATCAGTTTTCTCCTGCTTTCAACTGATGAAAAGCCTCGTTATCTAAAGACTACCAGGTTGCTATTTTCACACTTTAAAAAAGGCTTTCCAAATATAAATTGTATTTCTTGTTATGTCAGATTAATACAGTTTTACTGTTAGAGAACGATCCTTGAGTTATCTTTTCTTTCCAATGTTGAAAATTTTCACTGTAGCTTTCACTGCAGTTAAAATCTTCATATACCATAGAAACACTGGTTTGAACACTTCTCTTGAGGTCATGCAGCCCAACCTCATATCTGACTTGAGACTCCTGTCCCCTTAGCTCAGGTGAGCAATAGCTTTGTCCATACAAGTTTGAAGTTTGGAAAACCTGGAAGGCTAGAGACTCCACAAGGACTCCAGGCAACCTGCTGCAGTGTCACACTACCCTGCTATTATCCAGCCTACACCTCCCCAGCCTCAGTTTGTGTCATTGTGTTAGTGCAGAGAAGAGCTTGGCTTCACCGTCTTCACAACTGCCCTCCAAGGAGTCAGAAACTGTATCAGATTTCTCCCTTGGCTAGGAATTTAAGCACRGCTTTCAACATAAGAGTCTACTGTTCAAAGAACAAGAGAGGTATAAAACTGAACAGAATTAAAAGCAAATGCATTTAAGCAATAATTAGCTTGGCCAGTATTGTTTCCATCWCTAAATCTTTATGTCTTTGTTCTCAGTGCACTGTTGTGGCAGTTCTGGAAAGAAAGTACAATATTTTCTTTGAGGTATCAGCCTGCTGCTGAAAAGCTATTTGAACATCCTAAGTGCAGTGTTATGCTTTTGTTACAACCATTCTGAGTTTACATTGGTTCAGACATTAGTATGTGGAAAGTATCAATCTGGTAAGCGAAACGCAGCAGAAAAAAATRAGTTTAAACGCCTTTTTAATGATATCACACATGATATTATTACAAAATTCTACTATGAAAACCAGGAGATCTTTTGTATGTAGCTACATGAAATACAGTCTTCTCAGACACTTGGACTAAACTGATTATTTCCCCACCTCTTTTCCCTTATCGACATCTGTAAATAAAAGTTCTAGTTTCCTTTCTATAAATATTTCCTCCTTTGCTAACTACAACTCTACAGTGTCAATCCTTAATGAATATATTAGTGCAAGTATTAGACTTCCTGTAGCTTTTTGTCTGCTTCTTTCTGCAGTGAAAARTAAATGTTGCATATTATTAATGCAAACATGCCAAGAACTGCATATTCTCATTACAAACTGTGTATATGTAGGCACTATAGAAGTAAGTGTTGGAAAAATCCAAAACAGATCTAGCTTTTAGTACTCTATCACTTTAAAGTTCACAATTCCAAGAATCACTTTGGTAATATAATTAAAGTTATCCAGCCAGTTATGGTTGCTTCTTAATAATTAACACAAATAACATCTTAAAGGCTTCTGTAAAATACTTACAGCTTGATTTCTTTTAACTGAAGCAATGCAGATCAGACATGTCATAGCCCCAGACTGGAAAGCCTCATTCATGTATTGTCTTGTACGTTCCAGTTCACTTGCATCTCCATCTTTAATGTATAAATATTTTCAAAGCCATCAGTAACRTCTCATGTGCTATTCTCTACATGTTTAAACTGGACTTTTTTTTTTTCTGGACAGAGGCCAGTTATGTATCATTACAAAACTTATTAAAAGTACTTAATGTAGCTTTGAAACTATATATTGATTCTATGCMAAAGGGTAGGAAATACAGCTAGCATGCACTGTTGGGAATTAATTTTTTTTAATAGGAAAAAACAAATACTAAAGTCAGCTTCTTTCCACCAGTTATCCAAAACTGTAACATGTAGCCAGCCAACTCGGTCTATTCTATTAAATACCAATAAAAGTAAATATACAAAAACACTCTACCAGTTTGACTTGTATAAATGGTAAATGTTTTGTCCAAAATCTTTCCCTGCTTTCCTTCAGCATCTTCATCATCATCTTCAGAAGAGGAACTCAGCTGGTCTTCAACTAGCTTTTTTACTGCAGCTTGATTGGCTTTCTTRATTTCATCAAATTTTCTCTGTGAAGATAATTCTATTTAAAAGAACAGATTAGTGATGATTAATATTCCAATAATTAACCATAACATCATACTCAATTCTGCATGTTTGCAACAACCCTTTTCTTTCTGGTTGATCTYAAGATTTAAGTGCAGTATTTCCAATAGTATGTAGGAAAATAAGTTGCACTTTATTCTTTATCGCTCATTATCCAAAAGAATCACAACAGGCAGTATTTTCTCTCAATTACTTTTCAGGAGCCAAACCAGAAATACAAAAACATACCAATTTATAATGGTACTTTACTGAAAGGATACTAGAAAAAAAAAACAGTTTTATGCTGTTAAAAAACTTCAGAGACAATTCCTGGTAACAGTGAATGAGACAGAAATTCCTGTAGGGCTTCAGACTATGAACATCTGAGCTATGTTTTTTGCTTGCTCTGCTCTGCTTTTTAAGTTATGACTTCTATGGATCTGCTTCCACCCAAAAAAGTCTCCATTGTAACAGCAGGCCTGTGTCCAACAACATCACAAATAACAAGGATCATTAAGATGCAGTTTCTTTAAGTTACTCCATGTGAATGAGAGGAATGGTGTCATTTGGAGACAAAAATGATATAACTTAGGAGTTTAATAAGAAACCACAGTGCCTTTAACATTACACACCAGGGMCCTGTAAGAGCTATGATCTGTTAAYGGTTTTTAAACGAGGGCCTCCCAYAGCTATGAGACACAGCACACATCRAKCACACACGTTTCGCTCGAGCCAACTCCACCGCGCTGCCCTGCTCAGGCGCCCGGCGCCTCCCTCCCCACCACGCGGCTCACGGGCTTTCACCCGAGCTCCGCCACAGCCTCGCGCGCCGGGGAGCCTTCCCCGAGGCCGCCCTTGCCCGCGGGCTGCCCCCGAGCCGGGCTGCGGCGGAGGGCAAGGCCCGGCCGCGCCGGGCCCGGCCTCTGCGCGGCCGCGGGGCAC